AAGCAGGGCTTTTAGGGTTTTGAGTTGTTGAGCAGGGAAAGGTTATTGAAGTACTCGAATGTTTTCTGACTATTAAATCGGGAGGGATTTCAAGGTTTGGTTGGTCAAACGCGGGATTTACTATACAAAGACGAAAAAATTGATTGAAGATCGAAAAATCTATAAAGCTTTTGAGGTATTGGAATCATGGTTGCTCCCGAAACTGAAGAGGTGTTTCACGATTTCTTGTTGTTTTCTGGAATTAGAAGATCATGCACATTTCTTCTTGTGTGGTCATAATTTTCTCGGTATATATTCATTTGGCAGGTTGGGTTTAAGCACACTGTCATGTCAGCTAGTGATTATAATGTAATTGTGCCTATCAAGAAGAGGAGATTTACTATAGTCCAATCTTCTCCATCGTCTCCACACAAAGAATTATCTTCTCTTTCACTAGATGATAACTTAGTAAAAGTAGCAGAACCCGGTATATCTGATGGTATAACAGTTTCGAGTTCTGTTACAATCACAACTTCTGAATTATCTGAAAAGAAGGAGATTTCTTTTTCCGAGGAAAGTGAACGAAAAGTTGATTTATGCAATTCAAATAGGGTCCAGAGCAATATTGAACCCTCCGGAGTCAGGTTTCAGGAAGATGATGCTTGTTTTAATCATCAAGTGGAAAATAAAGCTATGAATGTAGAGAATGAAAAGCATGCACTTCATCTGCTTGAGAAACCTGAGTTAAAGTTACCAACATCTGATCCTAATTCTAAACTTGGACTTTGTGCTAATAAGAAAAGAGTTGGAATTGACAGAAAAGAACTTGAAAAGTGCAAATCTTTAACTTCTCTAGTTAAAACAGAAGCTGAATTATCAGTAGGCTTGAATGAACGTCTCGTTCCAGACTTGGTTGTAAAAGGGAGTGACAGGAAGTGGCAAAAGCAGAATAATTTAGAACCAGTGTCACTGAACCTAAGCTTAAGCAAGCAAGGAAGTTATACCCAGTGTCTCACTAGCAATGTAGGGTCTGATTATGATGGTTCTCTTCAGCAGTCAAATAGGGGAAATTGGGATCTCAATACCTCAATGGAATCATGGGAAGGCTGTGCAAGTGATGATCCTTCAGTGCAGGTTCCAGTTGTTCAGACAAACACAATTGTCACTACACATAGATGCTCAACTGAAATGGTTAGAGCAGATATTTCGTCAGGAAAACCAACCCCTTTAGATCAAAGTGATTATCTTCATCTAAGTCTCAATTCATCTGATCTTAGGCCTGTAACGAAGCAAGAACAAATTTCATCTGTTAAACTAGACTTTAGGAGTACTGATTCTTCTTTAAGCTCACCAGGCAATATGCAGTTTGATGATCTTAATGTTGCACTTAAAGTTGTAAAGGCAGAACCATTTGTTAAGGGCTCCGAACTGGAGTCTAAAAGCAATGAAGTTAAAGGATTGGGATTATCAGGCGATGCTTTAATGAATGGTGAATTAGATGATCAATGCAATCTTGAACTCCCCAAGGCTTCAAATATTTGTAGTCCGATGAACATAGTCAAGGCTAAATCTTTTAAATCTGAACCAGTATATGAAAGCAAAAAGGAAGCACTTGAGATGTTAGGGGGTAGATTAAATTTGATATCTAAGCAAGTTCTTCCGGATGTAGATAATTCTTGTCCTATAGCGGTGCCTGTAGTGGCAGAGATGTCGGAGGCAGCCAGAAATCCTTCTTGTTCAACTTATTTGGCTACAGATGGTGACATGTTGAACCATTCAGAATTGCCAACTCCTACTAAAGGAAATCTTAATGAATGTGGTGGTGGACTTGTCAACTCAGAAAAGACTGATATAACTAAGGATCCGGGTTTGGGAGATTCAAGTATTTCTATTGCAAAACCATTCAATGCTGAAGATGAGAATCAGAATAATCCTAAGTGGTGTCTTTTGAAACTCTCGAATGAGCAGTGCTCTGGTTTACAGGGAGGTGAGGAAAGTTCTGTAAGTGATGAGGAAAAGATTAGTTTATCAGCTGATATATTAGAAGAATATCCTTATAGTTCTGAATATGAATCAGATGGCAAGCAGGATGTAGATGGGGCCATGGCTGAAGTTCATAATGATATCGAAGAAGATTATGAAGATGGGGAGGTTCGGGAACCATTATTAAAGACTCAAGTAGAAAGCAGCGTATGTGTGAAAAGAGAAGTTGAAAACTTTGATCATGGTGATTTTAGTAAGGATAAGAAGATTAATTCTGTCGGATTGCCTGGTACTGATTTTTCCACTCTGATTTCTGTTAAGCAGGAAAATAAATTAGAAAGTCACGATGTTAGACAAGAAGACAAATTTCATAGTGTAACTACCAATCAATCTTCTGAGCAAGAAAAAGATGAAGCTTCTTACTTGAAAGAAATACTTGTTGAAGAGAATGCCTCTAACAAGGTTATAAAAGCCACAGGTAGAAGGCAATTGTTTCATTGTGAGGAAAGAGACGCCTTAGAGGACCAGAACTCTTCTGACAAAGCCACAGATGGAATTGAAGAACCAATTGTGACAGTTTCTCAGGGTGATGCAGAGAATGTTAAAACAGTAGATTTTGTGCGAAACAATGATCCAGTTTTGCCAAATGTTAAAGAGCCTGTAAATAATGATGATGCAACTGATGATTTTATTCATGGCAGCAGACATATTAATCCGTGTCATGGTTCTACTTCTTCATCTCCTAGTAAAACAAGATCTAATTCATTGAGGTCAGTTTTAACACGAACTGACAGAGAACAAATACTCGACGTAGCGCTGGAAGGGGGAAAATTACAACCTCAAGGAAGGTGCTCGATGGTCACTGCTTTTTTTATCTTTAAAAATATAAATGTTAATCAAGCTAATGCAATGCTGATTTCTTCTTATTTTCTAGAGATGACAGATACAGTGGCGTTTCCCAGAAAATTTATGTGAATAGACACCAGAATCTGTCACCCCAAACGAATTTTCATAGAAGAGAGAGATTCACTATCCGGACAGACTCTCTACAAGGTGAATGGGATTTTAATCCAACAGTTTCTCCAGGAATTTACAGTGATCAAATACCATACGATGCCCCCAGACGTAAATACTTGTCTGCTGTTTCTGACGATGACATCGATCAAAACCATTATAAAATCAAACCCAATGGCCCGTTTCGTAGTGCTGGTCGTCAAGGTAGACAAATATTAGATGACGAAGGCCCCCCCTACTGCCATATACCCTCTAGGAGGAAGTCACCTGGTATAAGAGATGGTCCTCCAGTACGAGGTGTTAAAATGGTACACAGAATGCCTAGAAATATTAGTCCAAGTGGATGCATTCGCGAAGCTGGTTCCGAATTGGTTGGACCACGACATGGTGAAAAGTTTATGAGAACTTTTGAAGACGAGACCATGGATCCAATCTATGCACACCCTCAACCTCCATACGAAGTAGATCGGCCTCCTTTTATCCGAGAACGAAGGAACTTTACTATCCAAAGAAAAACTTTTCCCAGAATTGATTCTAAATCTCCAGGAAGGTCTAGAGGACGCTCTCCTGGCCAATGGGTTCCAGGCAAAAGAAAGTCTTATAGATTTTGTGGGCATTTAGGAATGACACGTCGAAGTTCACCAGGTTATAGGGGGGACAGGATGAGATCTCCTGATCAGCCTCCTCCTATCCATGGAGATATGCCAGTTCGTAGACATGGTTTCCCTTTTTCTCCACTGCCATCCAGTGATTTGAGGGATATGCGTTCTGCTCCGGACCAAGGCCATATGAGATCAGATATTCGATGTAGGAATCGATCTGACCGATTGTCCTTTAGAAACAGGAGGTTTGAAATTATGGATCCTCGAGATAGGATAGAGAGCAGTGAGTACTTTGATGGGCCTAGTCAATTGAACGAACTGTCCGGTGATGGCAACGATGACGACCGAAGAAGGTTTTCTGACAGACATGAACATCTTCACTCATTCAGACCTCAATATAATGATTCTGATGGTGAGAATTATCATAACAATGCGGAGGATAGCCGCAGGCCTTTCAGATTCTGTGCAGAGGACGGACCTCCAGAGTTTCATGAAAGAGGTAACATGAGGGAGAGGGAGTTCAATAGACGTGTAAAGAACCAACCAGGAAATCTAACTAGACGAACTGGGGTGGTAATCGAAGAGCATGAAGTAGAAGATTACAGGCATGGTCGGCAGATGTGGAATGATCATGGCTTTGAAGATATCTCACGAATGAAAAGAAAAAGATTTTGAATTCGCCTCTGGTTATAATCTGCTGGTTTATAGTTCTAAACTCATTAGATTTGTGCAATTCTGAAGCCAGGTGAATGGTGATTCACTTACTTTCTGATAAGTTAGTTCTTATTGGAAAGGTGATTTCTTCTGCAGTTTCGGTGAAGTTGCTTCTGCTTGGATTATGGTCATTGGTCACTTCAATATATGGCTGCTTCACATTTTGACTTTCTCCACCCACAAATTATAAAATATTATATTTTTATATTAAAGGCGTACATGTAGTGATTTTGGCCTGACTTTTATCATTGCCGAAATTACTCATGTTTAGCAAATTAGATTTTAGAAAAGTTTAAAATCATTTTAAATTGGTTTTTAAGGTATCGTTGTGATTTTGAAAAATCAATTATACTTGAATCTATGTTTTTCAAAAACACTAATTTTACTATTAAACACACACAATTAAGTTCTTGAAAGAATAAGAAGAATTTAAAAACACACTTTTCTTTACATCATTTTTTTGAAAATTGTGATGGCACAACTTTGTAAAACTTAAATGTTTTCATAGATGCTAACATGAACTTTGATCAACGATAATTGACACATGTGGTCATGAGTTTGAATTACACTTCTATTTGTACTAAAAAAAAGTTTTCATAGACATTGAAATCACCATATTTGATGTTTATAGAAACTAAATGACATTCGTGATTGATCAGCACGATCTTTCAACGAAAATTTACGTCAGACTGGAAAAAGTGTGCGTGAATAAATCAAGATAAAAAGAGATGTTATGTGTTGGTTTTTTTGTTTTTTGTTTTTTAATAATACATATTGTAGATAATTATGACAAACAAATTATTTGACAAAGAATTTGAAATCATGTTGACAGGTGCCTATTACGTTATTAATAATATAATTCCTACAAAATAAATAATATAATTCCTACAAAATATTAAGATCATATTAGTAAAAGGTTATACTTACTCTAATTTTAATTTCAATAATTTATATTAAATTTTATTCCAAACGTAATTAGAAATTAGAAATTATTTTCATTATTTAAAATATTAGAAATTTGAAACCAGTTTCTTACCGATTTCAAAAGTATTAGGAATCTGAACTAAATTTGTACAAATTTAACGAATAATTAACCGTTTACTACGTTCACTGTTTTAATTTTATTAAAAAAAAAAGTTCTTAAAATCTGTCCCAAAAGGAGGGCAACAAATTATCTATAAAAATCGGCAGAAGAATGACGCCAAAATGTAATTAATAAAATTTAAATTATTTCAGAATTAATATTCCCGGGAAGCTATTACTTTTAAAACGGAAATTGATCTGAACTGGTCAAAGTGTTTTGACCGGATTTCGACAATTTATTAAATAAGTTTAATTTTACAGCGTCTTTGCCACGCAGCCTTGTTTTTCTATAAAACGATGGTTTGGGGCTCACTCTTCTTCGGAACGAAGCGAGTTTCTCCCGATTTTCAGACTCATTCATTTGTGGAGTTCAAGTTTCTTCAGACGCTGAGATTTTTGGACGACTCATTTCATCGTTATAATCATCGCCTTCGAGTTCCAGGCTTCAGCTTTTGGAACTGTTCCGATCAAAACTCATCGCTTGCATTGCACTCGTCTTCTTTTCTCTCGGCTTCGGCGGTGGAAATGAAGGTAATCACACTACTTGCCGTCTTGATTTGCTTAAAGTAATCGCACCGCCATTGTTGCCGTAACCCCGAGCAGCATACTATACTGTAACGAATGAACTTCACTATTTACATTAACGAAAATGTATTAGGTACGGCTTAACGAGAATTGATCTCCAGAACGATTGGACTATGGAAAACCTAACTCCTTTGTTTCTCGGTCTAGAATAATTTGATTTCTGGTGCGAATCGAAACCCTAAGCCTAATAGCGATGAATTCTCTACTCTGGAAGAGACGAATAGGGCGTAGGCGTCACCTGAGTAGCGACGATGTTCGATCATGGACAGGGGCGTTTCGTAATTGGTTTTTTTTCCCTTATTCTTTAATTCTTTTTTTATTGATAAAATAACATAAGTGAGCTTGATAACAATTTATCGTTCTTTAAAATTGATTATATGAAATTAATTTTTATAATCGAATGTTCTAAATTTTTATGTTACAAAATAACGCTTTTACTTTTGTTTTGAAAAACATTGAAAGCGAAAATAAAAAATAAGAAAGTTGATTTTGTTTTTAGAAATTCTACAAGAACAAAAAAATATGAACAGTTGGTAACTTTTTGTTTTTTATTTCTAATTTCTTCTTCTACAAAAAAAAAAAAAAAGAACGGCTTTTCGTAAGTTTTTAAAATGAAAATAATTATAATTATTATTGTATTTTCAACGAAAATAATTATTAACTTTAGAACGAAAAGAAATCCAGATTGGTCAAAGCATTTGGCCGGATTTTGGTGTTTTATTAATTAAATTTTAATTTTACGGCGTCTTTACCACGTCACTCGTTTTTCCTATAAATGGATGGTTCCACTCCGTCTTCTTCATTTGCATAAACTCATTCTTCTGCTGAACTAAGTTCTTTCAGATGCTTAAATGTTGATTGTTGGAAGTGGAGTGTGGACGATTCCCTTCAACCTCGACAGCCGAGAGACGCTGTTTTCTAACCCTAACCCTAAAATTGAAATCGGAGGAAGGCGTCAAGGAATAATTCATGGTTCCACGTTTGTTTCATTACTTTAATTAATGGTGAGATTCAAGTCTCGTTTTTCAACTCTGTATCTCTATCTCTCTCACTTCTTCGATTCATTCTAATGGCAATGTGTCGATGCCTCTCTCTCTTGATGCAAGTTTTCATCCTTCGGACATGAAAGTAGTCGGTGATTGAAGGTTGTTCGTGAACTCTTGTCACGCCTACTGCTGTGAATCATCCGAAAATTAAGTAATGGTGAGCTTAATCTATTTAGAAGAAAAGAATAATCTTTGGATGTTTTCATCTTATAAAGACGAACCAATTTGCAGGATCGAAAAGGAAAATCCCTAATTTGAAATAGAACCACATATGTCTCACAGCTTCAGTAATTGGACTCCTCGGCATAGTCAAGTGGCATTCAGTTCATAATAACAAGAAGACATAACAGACTCCACGGCGTCAGGTATCTAAAATTGATTATTATTCAAAAGTAATAATTACGTTAAACAACTTGGATCAAGTTGAGAGTGTAATCTACATCTTTTTTTCAAGCTACATGATATAATATTGGACTGCTATTGGGAAGCAATACCTCCCGGACTTTATGACTTGGGGGAGACCCATTCTGGAAATTTCTTGCATAACATCGACCGTACGGGGGCAGATGACAAAATTATAAAGGCATTGCTAGAATTTTAGTTTGCGTAACTCTCTTCCTCTTCGACCTTTTTGGACTCGTCGTAGCAAGACATATTTAGGTTTTCCGTGTTCTGCATAGTACGAGGTTATCCTAATCCACATTTGAAATCAAATTTGGTGACTAATTATTTTCATTTGGAATAAAATTGGTGATTACCCATTATTTTGAGACTTGTGTGTTACGTTTAGATATAACTTGTGATGTTAAAAGTATTAGTACTAATTTAAGTTTAACAGAGCAGTTGGAACTATCGAGAGCTCTGATATGCTATTGGGTACTCGATTCACCAATATATGGCGATGGGGGACGTCTACATCAATTTCTAGTTCTCATGCTCTCCGCTTCATTAGGCACTTCTCATCCTCTTCTCAACCAGAGGTATTGTTGTTGCCTTTGATGTTAAGCATGAACGGGAAATCTTGACAGCTTCACAATCTCATTCTAAGATTTTAGTTTGTATTAAACTCTAACCATGATTTACTTATCAGGAGTTGCATTCATTTAATGAGGATGAGGATACTGATGGGGCATTTTTACCATGGTTGGAGCGAAAAGCAGAGATGAAGATCTCATCAGTGCTTTCTATCGGGAAGTCTTCCATTGGCAGGTTGCTTCTTTGACTTCAGCCATTACCTTTATATGAGGTTTACATAATTTAATCCATCACTCCCTTTGCTGAGTTCAGGTTTCTGTTTGCTTCTGAGACTATAAGAGCTGGAGATTGTATTTTAAAGGTTCCTTTCAATGTGGTATGTTATCCTTTGTGAATAGCTTCATAAAGTATCTTAAATAGTGATACTGTGATAGATTGATATCTTTCGTTTCTCTTTGCAGCAAATCTCATCTGATATTCTTCCTTCACCTATTAGACATCTGTTAGGCAATGAGATTGGAAATGTTGCCAAGCTCGCTCTTGGAATTCTACTTGAGCAGAAACTCAGTTTGGTAAGGTTTAAGTTATGTTGGTTACATTAAAGATGAGAATGATGTTTGCATTCAACTGTGCTATGAGATTACCTCGAATTTGAAAATCAATTGAGAGTTGGATTTTGATATACTAATTTGTTATTTTCATGGTAGGATTCTGAATGGGCTCCTTATGTTACCCGACTTCCTCAACCATGGGAGATGCATAACACAGTTAGTATTTTGTCTTTTCATTTGATTCGTGAAAAAATTTCATGTAGTTGTGCATTTAGCATGCTGTGTGCATGAGCAACCTTATATATGTATGAATCGTATGTGTTATTTTATTCTAGACTAAATGAGTGACTCGTGAAATAAATTCTGTCAATAATCCAACATTTTCTTGAGACGTGGCAAGGCTATAAATGATCTACAGATGTTGTGGCTCAGACACTGTTGTTTCTTTCTACTTGGAAATACATTTTTTGTGGCGAATGTGACTGCAGCAAGGATAGGCCTATCTTATGAATTTATCTTTACCTACATGCTAAAAGTTATAATTAGAACATCAAATCATTAATATTATTACTCTATTATTGGTTGCTCTGTAAGTACATAAAACTTGAAAGGTTACATTACAATAGATCGGCAAATATTGGTCATCATTTTCGCAAGTGAGCCCTCATTTTCTTATTTTTCATTCAAAGACCTTTTTCTATTTTGAAAATAGTTGATGAAACTTCCAAGTTTTCAATTTTACGATGTCTGAAGATGTTTAGAAATAACAATTAGTTCCTGACTAACTTTTCCCTTATTAGAGACTTTGTAGATATTTTGGTGCGAAAGTGAGTTGCAGATGATTCGTAAAAGCTCTTTGTATGAGGAATCACTTAATCAAAGATTACAAATTGAAAGGGAATTTGTGGCAATCAGGCAAGTAAGTGCTTTGCTTCAGCTACAACTTGGCATTTTCTTTGATCTGGTAAGCATTTGCTACCAATATCTTGTTATCCAAATATCATGCTTTGTATTGGTGCGGACTTTCAATATCATTTTTCACTACATTCCTTTTAAAATTAATTCAAATTGGAGTGGATTTTTTTAACTCTGGAAGAGTGCTTAATGCATCTTGTTGTTAGGATCCCGATTATAAGAAAGTGTCAATGTAACTATATTACCATATCAAAGATGAAATTACAATATTAATGGCCTTTGGAGAGGCTATCTCTCTCCCAAGAACTATGCCACGTTCCTCACCTTAGACTATTCCCAAAATTATACTCCCTTCTCTACATACTACCTCTATTTATATCCTAACTTACCCCTAACTAATTACCATAACGCCCCTAACTAATGTACTAATACTATTTCCAAACTATCCCTATTAGTACTTTCACTCTTGTAAGTGGTAGCGGCTTGTAACATCTAATCTCCCAGTCCCAGCCATTACTTAGGTTATAATTCTAATGGTAAATGGAGATATTATATACATTAGAGCATTTAATTTGATCATGTTTGTTAAAAATATTTATTCCATAATTCATTTGAGATAAGTTTCACTGATTTTCCTGATGTTGTGGGTACATTATATGTTCTTAGGCCCTGGAAACCTTCCCTGAGATAATTGATAGCTTCAACTACCAGCATTTCATGTATGCTTATGCTCTTGGTAGGTAAATTCAGTTGAGAAGGAAGATATATTAGTGGGGATGTTTTCCCTTTCTAATTTCCACACGTAGGGGAACAGTTTGACTTTCTATTAGTTTGCGATTCTTCGAAAATTTTAAAGTTGTAAATTTTGTTCTTTTAGTACAGATATATTCATTGCTTTACTATATTGAATTTGACAGTTACTTCTAGAGCATGGGGAAGTGCAAAGGGTGTCTCTATGGTATTCTTTTGTGACATTTCTTTTTCTCTTCTTTGTATTACAATTTACATCTAAAGCACAAACAAGTTTCATAGTACAATAAAGAACTCTATTCGAGTCATATTTGTACAATTTAATTTTTCGACAGATTCCATTTGCAGATTTTTTGAATCATGATGGAACTTTAGAAGCAGTGATACTAAATGATGACGACAACCAGCTCTCCGAGGTCCTACTCACCCTTTCTTACCACATATCTTATTTCCAAGGAAATATTAAATTGTAACTTTGATTTTTTTTTTTAATTTATTTTAGTCCATTTATGGAACTTGGACATTTTTCTTTCTTTCTCTATTTTTTGTCAACTGAATTTCCTTTTTGGTTTTCAAGTATCTGAATTTCTATGTCAGGTCATTGCTGATCGTGACTATGCTCCAGGCGAACATGTGAGTCTTCATTTTCATTCATTATCTGAAGCTGAAAGGCCAAGTAGTCGGCTTTAGTTTTTCTTCATCCGTTTGTGAAGAAAATTCCCATAATTTGTACTTGTCCATCCTCTTTTTAAAGACGGACATTCCTTGCTCATTATCAGACAATCACTTATTCACAAACCTCGTGTGGGGACCTTTAAACTGTGTGGGGTCATTTCTGTGCATTTTGTTTTGGTGTCTCCCTTCTTGGGGGGTGATGGAAGAAGTTTTACTTTGATTTCTTTTAAATATCTTTCTTATATTAATAAGTTATGGTTGTATGCTTATATGACATAAAGTTTTGACAATTTTTTTATTTTTTATTTTCTAAACCTTGGATATGTACACACTTATTATTGTTAACTACATGTATTTGTGAAATGTATGTGGACAAGAGAAGTTGGAATTAATCCCAGATTTCACACGTGTCTATTGATATCATTTGTTGAAAGTTTTTTATTTGAGCTCCTAAGTGCCAATTCATTGTCTGCTTATTGTTTTTGGTTTTATCTAATCATCATGATAATAAGAAGCGGATGTATTTTTTTATGTACATGCTCTATTGGGTACTTTTGTGCTTGTATTTTATGGAATTGCAAGCCAGAATGATCCATTTTCCATTATGAAGTACTTTGATTTGTTACCATACTATTCACTAAAACTATTTTGTACAGGTGCTAATAAGTTATGGCAAATATTCAAATGCTACGTTGATGTTGGACTTTGGGTTTGCACTTCCATACAACATGCACGATCAGGTTTGTATGTCAATTTTGAAGGGAGCGATTGATACAATGGAGAAATAATATTATTGAATATAGTTATTCATATTCCAAAAATTCTATTATGGTGATACTTCCAATCAATTAAGATTAAGATCTCCCTTTATGATATAGTGTGGTCTAAATTTGATCCTTACATTTGATATACTACAAATCCCTAGCAATCTTCTTTAGGTTCTCTTAGTTCCTCTATCTTGCATCATGCAGTGTTCTTGTCTCCAACTTTGTTCTACCCTTAATCTTTAGGATAAGAAGTGGATACGTTGGACATAATTATATAGTTTGTTAATGCTATTTATCATTTATATTTACTTTTATGTCTACAGAAGAAGCGGTAGTTCTTTATGTTATGTTATTGATGCTTGTTTTGATGTTAAATTTTCCATGTTTCCATGGAAATATGGCATGCTCAGGTTCAGGTGCAGGTTGTAGCGACTGGAAATGATCCCTTGGCGAGAATAAAGTTGGAACTTTGGCAAAGAAGTTGCACATCAAATACTAAATATTTTAATGGCGTTTACTCACCCAAGAATTCTTTCACAATCAGGTTAGTATCATATCAAAAAAACAGTTGCATTTATTTTGATCCATGGTGCTATAAGTTGTGGAAACGGGATACTAAGATATGATGTAGACCAGCAACATGTTACTTCTGGAAAGATAGGACATGGGTTTATTGAAATAATTTTACCAATGATTCAAGCTGAGAAGTTTATGTTTTATACATGAGACGAAAAATGATAGTCTATGAGGACTTGGATAAACTGGCTGCATTATGTGTTTTTCATTTGATTTTGTTTAAAAGAATGATATACTACAAGAGTCTGTGTTTAATCGGTTTCGTATATGAACAAGTCATTCTAATTGAATTATCCATGTTTTTGTAGGTTATATGGGGATAGAATCTAGTTTTCAGTTTTATGATTAGTCTCCTGTGGATTATGAGCTTGCCTTCAATGTGTATTATGGAACATATCTTTTTTAGGAGGAGAATGGTGATAATTTTCGGAGGAGGCTTAGCTTGAAGAAAACGTTGGATTTTAAGTTCTATACAATTATGTTATGCTGATAATAATTATACGAGTAAAATGTTTATTTTGTTAAGCCGAGCTCGGTAGTGCGAGCTTGTAACCCAAGCGAGGGCAGGGCATTAAAGTGGCTGGATGTTTGTTCAGCCAACCGCGTTGGATTTTTTGATAATAGAATGTTTAATCATGTTATGACTTTTCCGTCAGCAACAGATTTTGGGAAGAATTTACATTCTCCACTTAGTTTTTGTTTGTTACTCCATGTTTGTGTAACTGTGTAATAGTTAGATTATGTTTACCATAAGTATTACAACTTCGGTAACTTTTACATACCATTAGGGAAGTGAGATCCGCTACTGGGAAAGGGAGAGGTCTTCCCCAATCACTTCGTGCATTTGCTCGTATTTTATCTTGCAGTCATCCCCAAGGTTTTTATCTCCCTCTTCCTGAATTCTGAGTTAGTTATTTCTGCATTGTCATGGCTCGAGTTTGATATTTTCTTGGTGCTTGTTGAATATAGAGTTAAATGACTTAATTACTGAAGCAACTAATGGCGATGGTCGGTTGGCTCGAATTCCACTAAAGAACGTCAATAGAGAGGTTGAAGCACATCAGATCTTGCTCTCTCAATTCAAACGATTAGTTGAGGAGTATAATGAATCTATTGAGGTACCCACACTCCAACATCAACTTATTTAATTGAAAGTTGTTTATATAAATTCCATTCCTTCGTATCCATCTAATTATTTGCTTTGATGTGTAGCACATGTATCGTACAGCATTTTTATTTTCCTGTTAGAACATTGGCAGAATTATTCAACCAGTATTCTAGTGGTACTTTTCACAAGCGTGCAGCGCTTTAGCTCTTAGCTTTATTTGCGGGCATGATCGTTATATTTTCGAGTTCTCATTCGTTTCACAATGTATTGTTGTTTTAAATGCTACGCCTTATGTGCAGTGGCAAAGCTAAAATTTTTAAATTTTTCTATGCAACCTCTTGAATGTGACCAAGTTGGAGCAACTGCCCTATTTTTTAAATTTTTATTTGTCTCTGTTACGTAACTAGTCCATTAGCATTACTATTTTCAGTGCCTAAGTGAGCTAAATATTTAAGGTTAAAATACTTAGTTTGGTCCTTCAACTTTCATTTTGGTTCATTTTGATATATGCTTGGTTCATTTTAGTCCATATACTTTAACCTATATTTAATATAGATTTTTTTAATTGCTCATAGTCTTACATAAATATTCTTGTATCCGCCATCCAGTCACTAGGGTTGGTTGATTCTCCCTTTCTATGCAAAAAGTTGGCACAACGGAAGCTAATGGCCCGACATCTTCTCAATGGTGAGCTTTGTATCCTCAATTCTGCTCTTACTTGGCTGGAGAATTATTGTGATACCTTTAAAATATTATAGGACTTCATCAGACTTTTATGAATACTCGTTGTACAATACTTCATTTATTTCGTGTTCATTAACTATTCTATTATATGTTTTCAAATGCTTTAATTAAAAACAAGTCATTTGAAACACATTAAATCAATGTTAAACTTATTATTAAATCATGTGTTCTTTGGTCTTGCAACTTTTGGAAGGTTTAATTTTAAAAAATTATCATTTCAATCTGTGAGCCAATATTCGCCTACTCTTAAACTAACCTATGTGGCTTACAAGCTTGGGTTAACATATAATAAACTCGAGAGTTTGAAAACTATAATGTAAATCAAAATGGAATAGCGTGAATATTGGGGGATTAACATTCATGAAAATATTATAACAAACTTGAGTATTGTGTCATATCATGATATTTCAACAGCCTTACGGATCTTTAAAAATGTTTAATATGCAAGAGACTTATTAACGGAAAGTTTGGGATGTATTAGATACAAAATGAAAATTATAAAAATATATTAGACATTTTTTTGTGTAAAGGTCTATTTGATATAAAATTGAAAGTTTTTTTGAGCCTATTCGTTATTATAATAAAAATATAAATTAAGTTTATTTGTATATGATGTCTAATAACAATATTTTATTTTAACAAATTAAATCACAAATATAGATAATTAAAATTAAATAGTTAACCAATGAAATAGAAAATTTTGATTTCATTAAAAAAAATCACGTGTACTGAAAAAAGATTAGCCACTGCTAGCATTCTTGGTAATTAACACCACTTTTCTTTCACACCATTTTTCTAGGCATGCTTAATTTCGTTGCTTCCTCGGATATCACTGCACTTTTCTTCCATACCATTTTTCTAGTCATTTATATAAATGGAATAAAATAAAATGTACTCTTTCAAAGGTAGTTTGAAAGTTTGCAATTTTGTAAACAAAATAAATAAATAATAGCATAATCAAAATTTAACTTAAACATAAATATATGTTAATGTAAAGCAAGATTAAAGACCATATAAATTTTGACAAATGGGTCACTCCAACCAAGAACCAAGGCTGGCTCAACCCGTGGATCAACTAGTTGCCCCATTTGAGTTAACTGCAAGGTCAACCAATCCTTGGTTTGTTTGCTAGTTGGCTTGACCACTACAAAGTCGACCAGTTCGGTGTTGGTTGGCTCATCCAAAGCTCCATTCTTAGAGCTCTAGCGTCCGAGCTCGAAGTTAGGTCGAGGTCGAGTAGCTTTGTGGCTGACCGACCTAATAGTTTGGCTGGTTTGTCTAGTTTAATTTTCAATTTCTATTTCAATCCATAAAATGTCAATGCTCTACATATCCAATTAAAAATGTTCAGAAAGTCCAATTATACGAAAAGAAGAGGATATCTTAAAGAGAAGAACTAAAAAAAGAGATTCGGGAGATTTGAGGAAAAAAGGTCCCTATATAGTTAGGATTTATCCTCTATAAAGGGAGGAAATATAATCCTACTTAAAAGCTAAGCTTCACACAAAACTCCATTGTAACTTAGGCATCAGAATATGTGTGGTTGACATCATACCGATGGCATCAACAAAACATATTAAGAAAAATAATTATTCAATAGTCGCGGATATAAAAGTGTTTTAAAAACAAATATTTATTGTAAATATACCAATAAAATTCACTCTTTATTCCTAGTTGAAAAGTTTGGGAGAAAAAAAAATTCTCACATGATGTAAAAATTATAATTTTTCTTTCTGCATAAAAATCGACAAATGGAAAAAAAGGATATCAATATGGAAATTATAATTGTTCTCACATCAATTCAATCTTTATTCACAGTCATTTACGTTTCCACCCATTTCTTTTTCCTTTGAGAGTCAAACAAGCAAAATCGGTATCAATATGGAATATTTCAGTACCTTAATAAATTATTGCCATAAAATTTTAATTTTTAAAAAATATATTTTAAAATCAGGTAAAATATCAATAGATCTCAAATAAGAAGACGCTTGATTGAACTCTTACAAGTTACAAGCATTCTACAAGACTAGATACGTATAAATTTCAATTAATACGACACTTGAATTAAAAAAAACCAAAAACATAAATAAATAGTTTTTTTTTGAATTAAATTTGATATCCATAATTATTTAAATAGAATATTCATGTTCTCTCAGTCTCAGTCAACCGGCAACCGAATCTGAGAATTATTTTAAGCGCTAGTTCATTAAATGGGGCCGCCTATTCAAATAATAATAACAATAAAAAAAAATAATTAAACAATGGCGATAATTCCATTTAACCGGTAAAGTTCGCGGCAGCCAACCACTGAAATGAGTAGTACGACGAAGAACAGTGGAGTTGGAAGAAAATAAACATTTTATTTAATTTTATCAAAAAAATAAACGGAAATGTTTTCTTTTTCCTTCGGCTTAATTTCCATGCGCTTTCCTCTGGTCTCCTTTTTTCCTCGCCGATTGTTTTTTTCTGATTTCTTTTTTCCCTATTTTATCAGAAGCCATATCTCGATTCTCTACTAGCTTCGCAGCCACAATCTGAGCTCTCTCATCGGCTATTAAAGCTTTGGAAGAAGCTGATCTGCTAGGTTTTTGTCGCTTCTCATCCAAAGATGGGTAGTTCTTCAGCTCAAGGTAGCTTTGCTCTTTTGGATTTTGTTGTTTTTCTTTGTTTGTGATTTGAAATCTGTAGCGGGGAACGATTTTTCTGTTTTTTTGATTTGCAGTGGCGGTGGATGTCGATGGAGGTTTAGAGAAGGGGATTTTGACTGTAGCATCGAATCAAAACCCTTTGGCTGAGCCCTCGCCGACGCCGTCTCCGTCGTCAACTGCGACGGCTCCGGCTCTTGTCCTGTCCAATTCAGGGAAGCGGATGGACCAAGCGGGGAAGAAGAAGTACGTGAAGCAAGTAACCGGACGGCACAACGACACCGAGCTTCATCTGGCGGCGCAGCGGGGAGATCTGGCCGCCGTGAAACAGATTCTCGATGATATAGATTCACAGATGGTGCGGAACCTCAGTGGCGCCGACTTCGATGCGGAGGTTGCGGAGGTTCGATCGTTAGTAGTGAACGAGGTCAACGAATTGGGGGAGACGGCTCTGTTCACTGCCGCAGAAAGAGGGCACATAGAGGTCGTCAAGGAGCTGTTGAAGTATTCCAATAAGGAGACTCTCACAACGAAGAACAGGTCTGCTTTCGATCCGCTGCATATTGCTGCAAGTCAAGGACACCATGGTAATGATCTCGATCTCATCTTCTCTTTCATAACGAATGCCCTAGGGCTAGATCTCATCTTCTTCACTTCGAAAATTGGGGGAAATAGTAATCATTGTGTTTCTTGAATTGTAGAAATTGTCCGGGTGCTTCTTGATCATGAACCTTCACTGAGCAAAACGATTGGACAATCGAATGCCACTCCACTCATAACTGCTGCAGCACGGGGCCATACAGCCGTAGTAGAGGAATTGCTTAACAAAGATCGCAGTCTGCTAGAGATTTGTAGATCTAACGGTAAAAACGCACTGCATTTTGCTGTGCGCCCAGGACATACTGAAATTGTAAAACTATTACTCAGCAAAGATCCACAGTTAGCACGAAGAAATGACAAGAAGGGCCAAACTGCACTGCACATGGCTGTCAAAGGGCAGAGCCGTGATGTGGTGAAGTTGCTTCTTGACGCAGATGCTGCCATTGTAATGCTTCCTGATAAATTTGGTAACACTGCACTGCACGTTGCCACAAGGAAGAAGCGTGTGGAGGTAATTTAATTCAATCACTGCTCCGTAGTTTATTGAGTTATGAATCACCTTTGTGGATGTTGGCTTATTTATCTTCTTAGTTACTGGTAATCTTGGACATCTTTTGAAACTCTCGTATACAAACATTTTAAGGGTCATTTGGTATGCTGGCATTGAAACGAAAAGTTTAGAAACAGAAATGTCGGGAAATAAGATCGTTGGGAATGAGACTAGTATGTTGTGAGTGTGCAGTACTAATGGGTTTCATATACATGAAAAAGGAAGATGTAATATTTGGTATGTGGTAATAAGTATTGTAGGATGAATAATATATTAATTTATATCAATTAGTTTCTTAATTTTGAGTTAATTAGTTTGATTAGTTTGTTAATTAGTGTTTCTTTAAGTAATTTTTTGGTTTCCTGTAGATTTGTAACAGTGGGCTTTTGACGTATTATTGAATGGTAAAGGCTTAAGAGAGGGTTTTCTCTCCTCTTTGGGTGTTTTCTCCTTGTTATTAGGATGAATTTCCTCATTGCTCTTGGCCATTGACATCATTCATTAAATCTGCTGCATCAATAAGAGAGATATTAGGAAGGTCTCTTTTTAAACTCTGGTATTAAAATAAAAGTTTAGGGCTTGTTTGATAACCATTTTATTTTTGGTCTTTTATTTGTGAAAACTAATTTTGTAACACTCTTTTCTCCCATGTATTTGTTTGTTATTTTAGAAACGTTTTCAAAAAGAAAATGTTTATCAAACGGGACTTTTAGAAATGAAAATTTTGGAAATGAGATTGTTGAGAATGAGATTCTTGTGTTCCGAGTATACATTACTAACCTGTGTTTGCAGATCAACCGTCCCTTTCAATAAATTATAGTTTTGTGCTCGATAAATTCTGTAACTAAAACATGGCATTTTTTTCTATGTAGTGTTTATATAGAAGAACCCTCGTATTACTCAAACTCATTCCTTTTCTTCAATTTTGCAGATAGTGCAGGAGCTTCTGCTCCTTCCAGATACCAATGTGAATGCACTAACCAGAGACCACAAAACTGCTCTTGACATAGCTGAGGACCTTCCTCTCTCAGAAGAATCATCAGAAATCAAGGACTGTCTTTCTCGTTACGGAGCTGTCAGAGCCAACGAACTGAACCAACCGAGAGATGAATTGCGGAACACGGTGACCCAAATTAAGAAAGATGTCCATACCCAACTCGAACAAACCAGAAAAACAAACAAAAATGTACATAATATCTCTAAAGAGCTCAGAAAGCTGCACAGGGAAGGAATCAACAACGCAACCAATTCAGTCACGGTGGTGGCTGTGCTCTTCGCAACGGTTGCTTTTGCAGCCATCTTTACCGTGCCCGGTGGCGACAACGACGACGGAACAGCCGTTGTGGTGGGCTCTGGTTCTTTCAAAATCTTCTTCATCTTCAACGCAATTGCCTTGTTTACGTCGTTGGCAGTCGTGGTGGTGCAGATTACATTGGTCAGAGGTGAGACGAAGGCGGAAAGACGAGTCGTGGAGATCATAAACAAACTCATGTGGCTGGCTTCTGTTTGTACTTCGGTCGCATTCATGGCATCGTCCTACATCGTGGTTGGCCGCAAATATCAATGGGCTGCAATATTGATTACCGTAGTTGGAGGTGTGATAATGGCGGGTGTTCTTGGCACCATGACTTACTATGTTGTGAAATCTAAGAGAACTCGATCCATCAGGAAGAAAGAAAAGAGTGCGAGGAGGAGCGGCTCCAACTCATGGCATCACTCTGACTACTCAAATTCAGAAGTTGATCGAATTTACGCTCTTTAGAATTAGACAAGACTTGCAAATTTTCAAGTTATTTGGTGTTGACTGTTGAGCAAATGTTTGTATGTATGTGTATGCGTACAAAGTCAATTCTCTCTTTCAATAAGTTTGATAACTTATTGAAACCAATTTACATGAAGGATGCAAGTAAATCAACTTCTAGGAGTGTGGATATAATTGAGAAAATAAAACCGGATCGAGAGGTTTGGTTAGACCACGGTTGGGAGTGGATACAGCTGAGAAAATCAAACCGAATCGAGTCGTTGGGTTGGGGTTTTTATGCTCATTCGGTTCTCCCAGTTTCAAAGGTGAGAGGGTTGAAAAGTTCTGGTTCTGTTGGTTTGGGGGTGGGGAATATGAAATATGGTCATTTATAATTTGACTCAGAAATTCATTTGGAATTTTTTTAGTACGGATGGGGATTTGAGAATATATATATATAATCCGATAAGGGGCTTTGGCTTTTTTCATAAAACCCTAGTCATAGTATTCAGGAATATATATATATACACACGCACGCAGTATAAGTGTGTGAATATATATACACACACATGCGTGACCGAGAATATATATGTGTGAAGACCGAGAATATATATGTGTGAATATTTGCCTATAAATTTTTGTTAGATTCAAAAGGAAAAAAAAAAATTGTACATGAATGACCCACTATTAAGTCAATTTTTGGTCAAAATTGGTCCACTGCTCTGAGTCAGAGTTAGGTGTATTTGATTCATAAGGCTCCCAAGATATAAGAAAAATTACTAACTTTTATTTTTTTCAGGGTAAGTAAAGAAAGTAATTTGTAGATTATTTATTAAACTATATTTATTAATTTAAAAAATAAAATAAAACAGTGATTATTTATTATAATTAGACTGGGATGAACTTAGTTCACTAAAAATGTCACGAGTTAAACTCTGTACTAAAAAAAATATTATTATTATTTAGAAAATAAAACCGGTTTTATTGTTAAAAGTAAAGCAGACAGATTTTAAAGTTTAGCGGGCTTGGGCACCGCTATTTATACCTACCACCAAGGACGGTCCGAGCCAGCAGAGACGTGGACGTGCTTGTTCCACGTGCTGACGCACGTGACCGCTTGAATGCGAAGTCTGCCCCCACTTACGCGGCACCACCGCTCTCCCTTCTCTCTATAAATGCCTCCAATTCCCTCCCAAACTCCTCAATCGAGAAACTGACAATGGCGCCGGTGGCTGATCTCGGCGGAGTTCAGGTTGAGAACGTCCCGTTTCCACCCCAAATAAAGCCTCCAGCCTCCGCCAAGACTCTCTTCCTCGGCGGCGCAGGTCAGATTCCTCCGCCGCGCGCCGATTCAACTTTGAACTCTGTTTTCCTTTTCCTTTTTCTTTTTCCCCGATTTCATTGAATGTGCTTGTGGAGAAACTGCGCAGGAGTTAGGGCTTTGGAGATCGGAGGAAACTCCGTAAAATTTACTGCGATTGGCGTCTACTTGGAGGAGGACGCTGTGGCGCCGCTCGCCGGTAAGTGGAGCGGAAAGAGTGCGGAGGAGTTGATGGATTCCGTCGAGTTCTTCAGAGACGTCGTCACTGGTTAGTAACTGATTATCGCTTTTAATGTGTTATCGTCTAAATTTAATAGATGACTGCTAGATTTCAGCCGTGCCGGCCGCCGGACGTTACCGGTGATCCGGTGACTCGACTATCTGGCTTGCCAGGCTGTCGCTTCTGTTGAAACAAATTTGTTAATTGGACGAATAAAATCAAACTAGGTTTGCGTGAAGTTCCATATTGTGAGATCAAATAGTTCCGACAGTTAGCCTGCTACACGGCCCAAATCTTATTGAATTGGTTCAAGAAGAGTACAACTGGTTTGGTTCATTTCTAATATAATTTTACAGTAATTCAAATCTTCAGTAGATTAGAGATTAACGAACAGCTAATTTGATCTATGGAATTTTAAGTTTGAGTGATTCCATGAATGATTAGAAGTAATAGACTAAATATATAGTTTTTTTTTTTTTTTGTCTCCCTTTTGAATACTATACTGAAAACACAGTTTTGATTTCTAAATTCTATACAATTATTTTAACTTCTTCGCTAAAACTTTAAAAATGTCAAGTGGCCTATCATGCAACTAATTTTATGACAAAGTTTGATGTTAAGGTATCTAAACTCTTTAACCCCATGTTTGGAACCTCATATTTTGGAAAGATTTTGAAATCATTTGCGTTATTTGGTTTAAAAAAAAATGAAATTAGGAAGGATTTGAAATCACGGTTTGGTGATTCCAAATAGTTTGGATTTGGCGGGATTTTAAACTAAAGCTCGACAAATTTCAATTTTACCCTGTTTGAAATAGTTTGACTTTCAGTTTTTTGTTTCTTTTTAATATTTGAATTGTGACATGTGCAAGTTTTTTTGTTTTATCTTCTAAGGATGATATTTGCAAGTTTTAATCTTGTTAACTTGATTTGATTAAATTATTTCTTTCTTTTCATGATTATATATAAAAAAAAATTCAATGATTTGATTTAAAATCAATTTGGTTCCAATATAAAATTCAAAATTATTTCAATGATTTAAGATCCTAGAATTTAAAATCATTTTTAACTGAAAATGAATTTTCACCATTTTTTTAATATCAAACAAATCCCCTCCCCCACATTTTTAAACCCAAAAAAAAAATTAAACGAATAATCATAACCAATTCAACATTTAACTAGAATGTTTGGCCTGGATGAACTTATAATATGAAGTTATGAACTAATAAGCTGGGACTGATAACCTCTCCTCTATTTATCTGTTACGAACACCCCATATGGAATCTGAATAGATCTCATTAGTGAAAAGTGAAAATTTTTATTGGTTCATTGGTTGTGAAATGGATTTTTTCAGGCCCTTTCGAGAAGTTCACAAATGTAACTTTGATATTGCCACTGACGGGTGAGCAATACGCTGAGAAAGTTGCAGAAAACTGTGCTGCAGCTTGGAAATCTATGGGAATCTATACCGATGAAGGAGCCGAAGCCATTCAGAAGTTCATTGATGCCTTCAAGAATGAAACTTTCCCTCCTGGCTCTTCAATTCTTTTCACCCATCTACCTCCCAACTCTTTATCGGTTAGTACCACTTTCACTTAAATATATAATAATCAATGTATCTTTTCACTTTATGTAGAAAAAGAATGGTAAATATGGCTAAAAAAATTAAATGTACATCAGTTAGAGATTACTCTGATTAAGTTAGTAGTGTACTAATTACTAATTACTGTTATCAGATCAATTAGATGATGGATGACATTTTGCCGAACTCTTAAATTTTTGTGAAAATGCACGTTGCCAAAATAGTGACACCTGCTAACATAGCTATCTAGTTCTATCTCCCAACAAAACATAGTAAAATAAATTTGAATAGATTACCCATCTACCTGTTTGTCGTACTAAAAATAAATAAACCAACCACCCAAATTCCCTTGCTCTACATATATGGAAATGCATGACTAATGAAGAAACTTTCTTGCATGATAATGTGAATTTTGTATCTAATTAACTTTATTTTTTTTAATTTGGTGTTAAATGAGTTATTGAATTTTATAAAGTATACCATAGGTTTGACTTGTTAGGTTTTTTTTAGTACAACTACTCATTTTGCTTTTAAATTTTTTAGTCACCTTCATTTCCTGTTAGAAAATTATGATAAAAAGAAATTAGTTAGGAAAATGAAGAATCACTTTTTAAAAAGTTGAAAGACTGGAACTAAATAAAACAAACGTTTGTACTAATTAAGAAATGGAAGATATAATTGTGATGTAATTGGTGGAGTTTGCAGATTAGCTTCTCAAAAGATGGAAGCATTCCTGAAAAAGGGAGGGCGACGATAGAGAACAAGCTGCTGAGTGAATCTGTGTTGGAATCAATCATCGGTAAGAATGGGGTTTCACCAGCTGCAAGGCTTAGTTTGGCCACCAGATTCTCCCAATTAATGTTGCAAAATTAAACCCAACACTCACAAAATTTCTCTGCCAAACAAGACATCATCTCAACAACCCAAACCCATGTGGATGTTGATTGTTAATGTTGGTGAGAAAAAATCAGCCCCCTCCTTTTCCCACTCCCACTCTCTTGGTTTACTTTTCTTCTTTTTTACGTTGCTTTCTCTTCCGGAATAAGACACAAAACGACATCGTTTCATTTCTTTCCGTACTTTTTTGTATGACTTCGAGTCGGCGTATATAGTTCAAAACGCAAACTAAATAATTTTTTTTTCCTAAACAAGAAGTTCGAAACGCAAAATAAATGGTTTTTTTTCCTAAACAAGAAGTTGGAAATTTTAAAAGCAATCATCACAGCAATGAATTCTCACATACATTGTACAAGAGCTATTGCAATGTGCAATTTGCTCTAAAATATCGATGATAATCCTTCCCTTCAAAGCAAATATAAGCACATTGTTTGATCTTTTGGTTATTTTGAAAGAAATAAAAAAACGCAGACTAATTTAAAAGTCAGAGTGAATTTGGATGATGAATCTGAACAATATGATGAATTTGAACAATATGTGTACTTCAAGGTCTCATTTTAAGCAACATGAACATAATTCGAACTCCTTGTATTATTTATTGAACTAAAAACACTTGAACTTTAGTCTTTAGATGTAACTTTTTCACGTCACCGTGAAAATTATAATTAAAAAATAAGAATATAATGGAGATTAACAGTTTCAGAGCCTTAAAATGGGATGGCTTAATTTGAAATTTAAAAAAAAAAATACATAAACGCTCCAACCAAACAAATGAAATAACATTCGTGATTTTGGCCTCCATTGATCTGATCTTTCGTTGCTGCTCAGTTCATCTTCTCTTGTTCTTGCTTCCAATCAGGAGCGAAAAGTAAAACAGAATCCTGAACAAGAATCCCCAAGCGACGGTCACCAGCAAGCAATGCCACTTACTCAAATCCGTTATTCCTTGCTGTTGCAGAATGTCAGATCCCGTCGTCAAGCAAGTGGAGCTCGTTATCTTCATCCCCAAAGTGCTGCTCAGATTCTCTAGAAGCTTCAATTTCATGGCGGACGGGACGATTCCCAGAGGAGTGTTGTCGAAAATCTGCACGCCTCTCACGAAGCATTTCGTCGGGTTGTCGAATTCGTTCTGTAGAACGGCTTCGTACGGATACTTCACCAGGGAGATGTAATGGAACCAGATCCAGTAGCCTGGAATTCGATCGCGAGTGATGAAGAAGCCGCTGAAGAGAAGGAAATAGGCCAAAATTGCTACGACGATGGTGTAGCCAAGCATCACATGAGGCACTACTCCCGAAAGGAAAGTGACGAATGAACTCCCCGCCCAGAACGCAGCAAAAATTATCAGAAAGTAGAACAAGAAACCTGTAATCCCGCCGTCCAATCCCACCGCCCAAAACGTCGTCGCTGCGAAGGCCAGCGATAGGAAAATCAGCGCCGGCAAGGCCACCAGAGAGTGCGAGAGAACGTAGGAGGATCTTCGATATGCATTGTAGGCTGTTTCTCGCATGAAAATGTACCGTTCTTGGAGAAACACCGGAAGAGCATCGGCGCATGTATAGAAGGTCGTGGACATGGCGAAAGCGAAGAATCCCAATCGTTCTTGAACTCCTTTTGGCGAGTTGTCCAGTTGCCAGAACATGGTGGCGAGGATGAATCCGGTGACCAGAACGGCGCCGAGTCGGATTCCGAATAGCTCTGGCATTCGGCGGGAATTTAGAATCGATCGTTTCGATAGAACCGCCATTTCGATCCAGAATGGATTGGCGAAGGTCGGAACCATGGAGTTGGGGCTTGCGTCGTTGTTGGTAGCACCGGAGACTAATTTGCCTCTGGAAATGCTTGCGCTGATTGCTTCTTTTAACGACATACTCTGGCGATCCGACTCTGGTTTTGGAGTGTTGTTCTTCATGCTCTGCCATGATTTGTTGAATTCAACTAAGCTCTTGGTTCCTCCCGGAGAGCCTTCGAGCTCTCGAATCCGATCGAGCGCGAACTCAGTCCGGTTCTCATTTTCCGGTATCGGATGGCCGAACTCCGCGAAATACAGAGGAAGATTTGCAGGGGAGCCACTGTAAACGGTTTGTCCACGAGACAGAAACAACAGCCGATCCAGCAATCCGAGAATCCGATAACTCGGCTGGTGTACGGACATCACGACGATGCTACCACTCTGAGCAATCCTCTGCAGAACTTTCACCACCATGAACGCGCTAGTCGAATCGAGTCCCGATGTCGGCTCGTCGAGGAACAGGATGATCGGATCGTGAATTATATCGATTCCGATCGAGACTCGCCGCCGCTCTCCGCCGGAGACTCCTCGGTGTCCTTCATCGCCGATGACGGTCTTCGCCGCGTTCCGGAGCCCTAACTGGTCTATCAATGCTTGAACTCGCATCTTCTTCTTAGATTTCGAAAGCGTTCGAGGCAATCGGAACTCGGCGGAGAACATCAGAGTTTCTTCCACCGTGAGCATCGGGAAGAGCAGATCATCTTGCATCACATAAGCAGAAATCACTTTCAACAATCTCGATTCCAACACCTCTCCGTTCAATGTCACCCTTCCTTTCAAGCTTCCTTTCGCGATTCGGTTAGCCAGTGCATCAATCAGCGTTGATTTACCTGAGCCACTCGCTCCGAGAACGGCCAGAATCTCGCCCTCTCGCGCCTCGCCGGAGATGTTGTTCAACAGAGTCTTCGTTTTCGTGAATAAGCGGTCGCCGACAACTGTCTCGTCCGCCGTAGCGCCGCCGAGTCTGTTTCCTCGGCGATGAAAAACCGATGAGAAACTAATTTTACGGCGAACCTTAACGCTGTATGTGAGATTGCTAAAGGATAGCACGAAAGGCAGTGACCGCGGCTCCAAGCTTGCGCCGGTCAAGTCGAGCACCTGATGGACCTGTCAAATATTAATTAAATTAATTAAATATAACCTAACATATAAGTTTAAGTTTTTCTTTTTTAAATAATATTTTGGTCCTGACCTAAGTTCTAGAATAACATATCTCATGGGTGAAGGATTGGGTTTAGGTGGATTGAGATTTGGCTTAAGATGTTTTTTTTTGCGCAACCATTTGGAGATATGGAGGATCGAAATTCGATTTCGATGGAAGAAAAACATATCAATTACTGTTGAACTATGTTCATATTTGATGTTGAACTCATTGTTTGTTTGTTAGATTTATTAAGCGTGAAGGTTATCTAATGTTTCACCAGCAACTTAAACCTCACTCTCTCACACCGTACTTAATTTAGAGTTCACAAACTAAATTTAACATTCTTAGGTGTAAATGTGAACTTGTACGTCTAAAACATCTTCAGCTTCATTATCAAGCTCACATGTGAGATGTGTGTCGTGAGGGGAGTGTTAAGAGCACCGTGCTTTTAAGTGTTTATCGACCACCACCCATTTCTCTAAGTACCTAGCTATTAAATATTTTAGTACCGCTCTTTATTTAAAATAGAACACAAAAATATTATCTTTTATGCACTCGTCACTGTATTTATATAGTAATTTAATTAATGGTGGTCAACAAGAAAGTGCTATCCGATGAGCATAAATATTATTCAATACCAAAACAAAAATATAAACAATATCCAATACTTTAAAGTTAGGAATTTAGTAGTAGCTTAACATTACCGGCGTCTCGCTGCCATCTCCGTTTGCCTCGCTCCGCACGTCCCCGACTCGCTTCAAAAGCTGGCCAAGCGTAGAGAACGAGCGCGGGCGATCATGAAGCTCCATATGGTTGAAAAACGCCACCGTATCTCTCGCCGGCGACATATCCTCCCCCATGGCCCCGGTAAGAAAATTAAGCACTTATAATTAATATGTGTACTGGCCGTATAGCAGAACTACGGAAAAATGAAGATCACAAAGAAAGAGAAGAAGAAGAAAAGAGAAAGCACTTTCTGGGAGAAGCGATTTTTTAAGAAACTGCTTTTTTGAAAAGCCCCATAAATACAATAAAGCTGAGAGCAGAAGAAAGGAGAGTTTGGTTACACAGTTAGGTTAGAGTTGGAACAGTTTCATGGGGAAGAAAATATGAGAAGAGGTAACCTAAAACTCCTAACTTCCTTGCATTTGTATAAGAGAAGCCATCCCCATGAGATGCAATGGGATTGCGCCACGTGTCATTGTTAATATTTGGGGTTTCATATTGTTCACACTTTATGGTTCTGAATTTAGGTTGGATGTTGATCTACTCTCTCTGTGGAGTTTGAATAATAAAGGATTCAGCACGGGTCGCCCCTGTTTTGATTTGATGCAACAAAAAGAAAAAAAAAAAGATTTCTTGGAAGTTAGAATGTAGCAGGTGAGTTCTATTGATGAAACTTTGTAATTGATTAATTAATTAAAAAGAAACAAACTTTTTTATTATTTTAGTTATGTATAATATATATATATAGATGTATGTTGATTAAGGTGATAAGGTAGAATTCCATGCTTTTGGTTTTTTATTGAAGGGTAATAAAAAAACAGGTACGATTGGTGGTGATTTATTGACTCGGTTGCTATTTCAATGTATTTCTTTATGTTTTAATATATATATATATATATATAGTAGTAAAGATTGAAGTTGATTCGTGATAAACTTATCTAATATAATATTTAGAGGGTTGGTTGTAACTTTAATTAGAATTTTAAAAATAAAAATTTTTCTAAACTTTTAAGAAAGTTTGGCAAAAAATTTCTAAATTTCTTCAACTTCCTAAAATTGAAAACTCTTGATAATGTAAGCTATTAAATTGAAATTTTTAGACCATATATAGATTGGAAAATACACATTGGTTTAATGACAATTTAGTTTTGAAAATGGTGCTTGTTTGCCCACAGTATTTTCCATATGCTTTTACTTTTCTTAAAAAACACATATATGCATTCCATTTTTTATTTTTTATTTTTATAATTTGGTTTAGATTTCAAAAATCGTTTTTAAAAAGTACGTACCAAAAGTTTAAAAAAATAACATAGGTAGAAATAATATTTTCAAAAGCTTAATTTTTAATAACGTAAAATGAAAAAACAAAATTAAGGAATCAAACTTTTAATCATTTACAGATATTTTTTGGTTAGTAAATTATCTAGTGATGGACGTTGATACCTTGATAGTAGTGTTAAAGTGTAAAAAACAAAATAATAAATAATAATAATAATAATAATAATAAAGGATGGCAATGAGAAAACAAGTATTTTTTTTTTCTTTTTTGCAAAAAAGTCAATAAAAAGTCTTTATTGTATTTATTGTACTTTCTTTTATTTTTTTTGCAAAAAAGTATTTATTTATTGTATTTATGGTTAATAGTATTTATTGTATTGCTCTTGCGTTTTGGATTCGTGTAAAGTTGGTTGATGTAGGTGGGCTACCGTAGGCGAGGCCGGCAATGTAAATTGAAGAAAGCCAAAGTCAACACCAAACAAAAGCGACGACGTTTTCCTTTCCTCTTACTGGATCTCGCACGTGCTTTCCCCCACGTTGTCCGTTGTCTGTCCACGTCAATTTTTCTTTTTAGGAAATTTTCAGTTTTTATTTACGCCGAATTTGGTGACCTGTATATTTTTAGTTTTTACTACTCTCTTTTTCTTCTTTTAATTTCCCTCTCTCTTATTATTTTTCCTTTTTTTTTCCTAAACAACCCTGAAGTTTTTGTTTCAAGGATTAATTATATCTATTTTATAAAGTCGTGGACTAAATTAATAGAAACTTAATCTATGATCAAAAGTGTAATGTAGCACTATTTCAATAAAATATTACGAGAACGACAGCTACAACATAATTAAATTTTTTTGTAAAAATTATAGCATATGACATTGGTGTTTACAAATATTGTAAAAAATGTATGCTAAAAAAATGTCGACGTTAAATTTTTCTCAAATATAGAATAAGTTTAATATTTTTTATGTGTGTTTTATATTACATTTGAGTTTGAGTTTGATTTCTCCTCGGACGATTGTTAAATTAAAAAATATATATATATATATTTGATTTCAATTTCAATTTCAATTTTGCAATTTTTGTACTGTATTTGAAAATACAAATTTATTTTTGTGTTAATTATGTAAATATCTCATTGATTTGTGAAAGTCGATTAAAGATTTTTCAAAAAAGTAAAAGCTATTTCATTAAAACTGAAACAGTGCCATAATGGCTATAATTAATGATTATTATTTATTTTATTTTGAATAAATTATGCCTACAATTAATTTAGTATGTTGTAATAAGAGACTTTATTTAAAATGGTGGACTTTCGATCTACGTAAATGAAAGGATCAGAAGGTAAAATATATCATACCACGTGGACCGAAGACGTGAGTCCACAATTGATCTAATAGCACCAATCTGTAGAGCTTAGTGGACGACACTTAGAGCCTCAAATAGGGTGAAGTTACCTTATCTCGCCACTGTTCGAGCTAAAAATCTGCCAGCATTGAGAAACCGCTTGAAACTGCGTAACAACCTTAATAACTAAATAACGACTATCGTAACATAATGATTCTCGTTACCTCTAATAAATATGTCATCATTCTCCTTCAAAGGTATGCAATTAATCTGGAACCGACCTACTAGCTCGAGCTTTAAATTGACTTGAGTATCGACTATTTGTTAATTGAACACATAACTCATTCCCACAGCTTGATCGGTTAGCTTGCCATAGATTTCTAACCCTCCAAAAATCAGCATAAACAAATAGGATATCATATAAATCACAAGCAAATCAATTGATGGCCCACAAAGTTATCATTTCAATCCATATGTGATCTGATTGTAACTTTTTGTTTTATTAGTTATGATTATAGTTAATGCATAGATTGTACTAAAAAAAAACTATATTTATATGTAATAATATTTGGTTTAAAAACGTATATATTGTTTCAACTTGAACGATTTAGTTATTGGGCCCGCATTCGAGTGGGCCATGTTAATGGGCTCAACACGGAGTCTCGTCCCGATTGGGCCAGATCCACTTCTACTGGGCTTGCCGAATTCATTAGATTTGCGCAATTCTGAAGCCAGGTGATTCATCTTCTGCAATTTCGATGAAGTTGCTTGTTCAGTTGTTCTTGGGTAATGTTTGATTAATACATATTATTTCAATGCAAATTCGAGTTCAGATAAACAATAATGTTACTTAATAACTCAAACATTGCTTCAATGTTAACAACGGAAAAAGGAAAAAAAAAAAAAACTTGAAGGGTTTGAAACACTGATCGAACGCTAATTTTTCACTTCCTCCGGCGGCCAAACACTAACCTTCTCCTTCTCGAATTTAACATACACAGCAGCAACCGCCGCTACGAAGTACACCTGAATCAGAATTATCGCCGGCGTGTGGTAATTTATGACGCCTTTTCCGGTAGCCAGTTCCACCAGCACCAGAGCCGAGATTCCGAGGATCGCAATCCATCCATTTATCCTCTCGCTGAACGGACTGAAGCCGAATTCCACTTTAAGGCCGCCGGAAACCGCCTCCTTCAGCGGCACCGGCGGGAGGTACACCGATGAGCCGCCGGCGCCGGCGGTGGATCCTTTATTGGACTTCCGCGCCTTCCGTATCTCCGCCTTCTTCCCCGTTCCGCTCCGGTACTTTAGCCGGACCTTGGCGAGGCGGTTCTCGAAATCGTCGCCGTCCGATCCCGGCTCTGGATCGGCGGCAGGGGTTTCCGGATCTGCTGCACGAGTTACGAAGGTGAGGGGCTTCGTCTTGTGAGGCTTCGAATTGGAAGGGAATGGGAGAGAGTTTGGGAATTGCAGGGAGGAAGATGGAATCGCCGCCATGAAATCAGAAAATCAGAGCTCGTGGATAACTCGCTGTAACCATTCTGGCCTTATATTTTTTTTTGCCCCTTCCTTTTAGTATTTTTTTTTCCGCTGTCTTTAAATGAGTGGTTTCTACGATATCCGTTTGTTTTATTCATTTTTCTTTTATTTTTTTATTTACTCAGTAGATTTCAACTTATAAACTTCTAGTTTGATGCACGTTATTGCTTCCGAATTTTTATACTTTAAAAAATATAATGGTTAAAATTTAGATCCCCTATTTGTAAAATTTAATGGATAATATAAAATGGTTAAAAGAATCTGAACATAGCACCTATTTAAAATAATAAAATGTGTTATTAAAGAAAAATAAAATAATAAAATAGTTAAAATATTATTTTAATTCTTACATTTTAAAATATTTAATTTAGTTTGAAAAATAAATTCATTGTTTTCATTTCTGCAATTATAGAAGGTTTATTTTACTCTATTTTTTTAGTTCAACATAATGGGCATTGGAACTTCCGACTGCTTAATCAATTATATATAAGTCAAACTACACTTAAATTTGACAGGTTTGTTTTACTTTTTAAATTCAAAAAAATAATTGTTTCTATTTTCTATTATTTTGTCATGTAATCTCATATATTATAATATATATTTAGATTAGTGTGTTAAAATCATAATAGCGGCCAAACTGTAACGAGATCAAGCGTTATTTTTTATACAAGTAATGTAAATATAAAAATATCTAATAGGATTTGTATTCTCTGTTTTCGTATTATTGAATTACTTTTTTTACCAAATAAGCAAAATGCAGTCAGCATTTGATTATTATGTTATTTTAACATTAATAAACTGACAGTCAAAATAACTTCGGGATTATTTATAACCATTTATCAAACATTAGGGATTAAAAATATCTATTTTAAAATTTGAAGAACTAAATAGATACCTACTTCAAATCTCATGGACCTATTTTCCCAAATTTTTTTTTATGTTTTACCATTTAATTGAGTTAATTTTAAAGCTTTAATAAGTTATGATATTTGTAGGGTTGAATTTGAGCATTTTAAATTTTATTTTTAGAGTTGGTTGATTTTTGTGTGATAAATTGTGTAGTTAATCCACTGACAATATTAAAAGTTAGTTGGAAAAGTATTGATCTAATTGTTTATTTCAAATTCATGATATGTTTTAGCAATACAAACTTCCAATAAATTTCAAATGAATTTTCTTGTATGCTGTGCTTAAGATAATTTGGCTTGAAATCAAATTAATTTATTGCAAATTAAATGATTAATCTAACTTCGTCATATTCTATTTGTATATTCATAAATTAGTAATTAAAATTTATCATAGTAAAATCACTTCTTTTTTTTTCGTATTTCTAATGTTATACATGTATATATATTAATATCAAAGAAAGGATTAGGATATAGAAATTTAAACCTATAATTTTTTTTTGGTGACAATTTAATTAGATTGAAATGGTAAAATTGAGTTAATTTCTAAATAATAATAATATGGAGTTTTGAAAAATAAATACTGTGGTCCATATATTTTAATTCCGCAGTATCCACGAGGTTTCACATCTCAGGGGAATGCTTGAGTTGAGATTCCCTATTTTACTCCTTTTCTCTCTCTCGAAATTTATAAGAATAAAAATATATAAAAAATAAAAAAAAGGAAAATTATTAACCCAAGTCCGATTCCCTATAAGTTTGCGTAGAGCCGAATTTCCCATCTTCCACGCAAAATTCTCCATCTCCGGAAGGTAATCTCATTCGTTGCTTGCTTCCATCTTCTTTTTTCCCTGCCGATTGCGAATACATTAGGTCAATGCCATCTTTGATCTGGGTTTCTCATGTATGTGCGTTGATTCCAATTCCATTGTTACTTTCTTTCGGTATCTTCAGCAATACAAGCACGTCTTAGATCTCTGTGAATCGCCTGTCTAGGACAGCCTAATCTGTCATCCAGTATGTTTCTCTTGAAGCGGAGGGGAGTTTGATGGAAGTTTGAGTTATTGGTTGAGGAACAGCTGTTCAAATATTGGGGGATGTCTTCTAGAAATTTTGATCGGATTCATTATCAAGTGATCCTGGTGATCTTCTGGTCGTTTAGATGTGGAATACGTTTGCGTAGATGGGGTTTATGCTTCTTTTCTTTTGTTCCTTTTAGTTTTATCATCAATTTTGTATTTTTCATTAGGAATCTGCCCTTATGGGCTGGATGGAGAAGTTTTTGCGTGGATATGAAAGTTAGTAAGGGAGGTCGGGCAAGTATGAGATTGTGCATGGCTGCTCTGACGCTTAATAACCTTATGCCCAAAAGTTTGTGGCTGGAGTTTGCTATGAAGTTAGTTGTGTTGGGTCTCCGCTGATCCATTTTTGAGGCGTGGATCGTCTGAACATTTATGGGTAAAGTTTGAATCACGGGAATCTTCATAAATAGGATGGGCATGCAGGATTTAAGATATGGATGCAGATTTTATGATATTCCATGATGGAACCGCTGCATTCGCTAATTTATTTAGTTTTCGCTTGCAGATTAATAGATTATTATGACACAATGTCTGTCATATGCTATCTTGCAGATTGAATATTTTTGAAGATAACTAATGTATTAGTATCCGTACAGTGCAGAATTTGGAAGTGACTTCTAAGAAGTTGGTGAGAATTTGGTGTTGGATTAGAGTGATTAAAGACCAAGAAACTGTTTTAAGCCACTCAGGCCTTTGAATAATGGCCATGCCAGAAAGTGAAGAGGTGCCTAATATTTATTTTTATTTTTTTGCTGTTTTCTGGGTTTTGAAGATCGTGCAAGTTTCTTCTTATATGGTTGTAATTATTGTCAGTAAATGTTCAATTGGCACTTGGCAGGTTTGTTTTAAGCGCATTGGGCTGTCAGCTAGTGATTATGATGCATGTCTTCCCATCAAGAAAAGGAGGTTTCCGTTAGTGCAGTCTCCTCCATCTCCATCTAAAGATATATCTTCATTTCATCCGGATGGAAATTTAGTGAAGACTGAACAGCCATCTTCATCTAAAGATATTTCAGTTAATCCCAATGGAAATTTGATGAAGACTGAACAACCATCTCCGTCTAAAGATATTTCTTCATTTCATCGCGATGGAAATTTAATAAAGACTGAACAGCCCGGGATATCTGCGACAACAGTTTCAAGTTCTAGTGCAGTTACGAGCTATGAGTTGTCAAACAAGAACCAGGAATGTGTTTTTGACGAAAATAAAGGAAAATCCGATACTGATTCATGTTATCTGGATAGGTTCCAAAGTAAGATTGGAATGGCTGGAGTCAAGTTTCAGGAACCCCAACCCAATTTGGGAGATCGTGCTTGTTTTAGTGATTATGTTGATGATTATGTTGAATATGAAGAGAAGTCCTTGATCACTGAAAAACATACACTTCATGCATCATCAGAGATACCTGGGGGATTAAAGTTATCATCAACCAGCCTCAACTTTGACCCCCTTACTGGTAACGAAGAGGAAGAAATTGCTGTAAAAAATCCCGAAGAAAAGCGCACATCTCCTATTTGTCAAGTTGAAGGAAGAGCTGCATTATCAGTAGGTTTGAAGGGACATATGGTTCCGAAATTGGTACCTGAGAATAATGATATTACTTTATTGAAGCATAGCATTTTAGAACCAGTGTTACTGGACTTGTCTTTAAGCAAGCAAGGGAGTAGCTCCCCTTGTGTCAGAGGTAGCATAGGGTCTGATTATGATGGTTCTATTTTGCATTCAAATAGGGAAAATTGGGATTTAAATACCTCAATGGAGTCATGGGAGGGTTGTACTAGTGATGCAGCTGCAGTGCAGATATCAGCCACTCAAACAAACATGGATGTCGGGACGTATGTATGCTCGTCTGAAATGGTTGAAGGTGATAGTCCACGTGGAAAACAAATCCCTTTAGATAGTGAACATAGAGACAACTCTATTAATGCATGCGTGCCATCAAAAGATCATCTTCATTTAAGTCTCCATTCATCTTATCCTAAGCCTACGCTTGAAGAAGATCCTTATCTTTCTGACTATGAATCAGATGGCAACTGGGATTTAGCTGATGCTGTCGATTATGATGATAATAATGTAGAAGAAGATTATGAAGATGGGGAGGTTCGGGAAACAATGTTGGAAACTGAAGTAGAGGTCCATGAATGTGAGAAGAGAGAAGTGGAGCGTTTTGATCATGCTGATTGTGATGATAAGAAGATCAATTATGTTGGATTGCCTGATCAGGATAGTTTCACTCTAGGCCTTGTTGAACAGGAAGCTAAACCAGAACATCTGGATGTTAGAAATGAAGATGATGTTCATACTGCAACTAAATGTAAATCTTCTGAGCAAGAAAATGAAGACCTCTGTGAGAAAGAAGTACATGCCGTTGAGAATACTATTAATGAGGACGTAAACAGGCCTGTGAAGGCCACAGGAAGAAGTCAATTGTCTCTGTACGATAAACAGGACAACTTCGAGGGCCAGGCCACTGCTGATAAAAATATTGATGGAATTCAGGAACTGATTTCGACAGTTTCTCAGCATGTGGAGAATGCTATAGCAGTAGATGTAGTGCAGAATAAGGATGTAGCTTTGCCTAATGTCAAAGAGTCTGTAAATAGTGATGATGCGAAGGATGTTAATGGTGGCATAAAAAATAGTCGGATAATTAATCTCAATCGAGCTTCTTCAGATTCAACTCCTTGTAAGGTGAAATCTAGTTTTGTCAGGCCAGTTTTATCACGTACTGATAGAGATTTTATACCCAACATGGCACTTGAAGGAGCAAATGTACAACCTCAAGAAAGGTGATTAGTGATTTCTAGTTTTCTTCCATACGTTCTCAACTTTTTTCGTTTATTAAACTTGTTTTAACTATTCCTCTGACTTTCTATCTTGTCATTATTTTTTATTTTCAGAGATCACACATTCGGTAATACTAACAAGAAAATTTCCGTAGATAGACACCAGGATCCGTCACCATGGATGAATTTTAGTCGTCGAAGAGGGAGAAACTCTAATAGGTTGGACACCCGATCTGGGGAATGGAATTTAGGGCCCAACTTTTCTCCAGAAACTTACAGTGACCAACAGATAGATTACCATGTTCCTGGCCTTGATCAAAATCGATATGATATTATACCTGATGGTCCATTTGGTGGTGCTAGCCATCGTGGTAGACAACTGTTAGATGATGAGGGACCTTTTTTCCATGGACCCTCAAGGAGGAAGTCACCTGGAAGAAGGCATGGTGGACAAGGTGGCAAAATGGTTAACAGGATACATCGAGATTTTAGTCCAAGTAGATGCATGGATGAAGGTGGATCTTTTGACCGACAACACGGCGAGAATTTCACTAGGAATTTTCCTGACGGGACCATGGATCCTATATATGCACGACCGCAGCCTCCATACGAGGATGATAGGTCTTTCTTCAGGGAAAGAAGGAACTTCTCTTTCCAAAGAAAAGGTTTTCCCAGAATTGATTCTAAATCCCCAGTAAGATCTAGAGCTCGCTCACCTGGCCAGTGGTTCCCTTCAAAAAGATCTGATAGGTTTTGTGGACGTCCAGGAATGACGCATCGAAGATCTCCAAATTATCGGACGGACAGGATGAGATCTCCTGATCAGCGTCCCATGGGTGGGCATATGGCAGCCCGAAGACATGGATTCCGCTTCATTTCACCATCTGATGACATGAGGGATGTGGGTCCTGTTCCTCCAGACCATGGCCATATGAGGTCCATTATTCCTAATAGGAATCAGACTGAAAGATTATCACTTCGAAACAGGAGTTATGATGGTATAGATCCTCGAGGAAGGATTGAGAGCGACGAACTTTTCGATGATCCTGTACGTTCGGGTCAATTGAGTGGGTGCAGTGGTGGCAACCATGATGATGATGAAAGAATATTTAATGAAAGACATGAACCTCTTCATTCTTTTAAGCATCCATATGATGATTCTGATGGTGAGAGGTTTCGAAATAATGCAGGGGATTGTTCTAGGCCTTTCAGATTTTGTTCAGAGAATGACTCGAGAATTTCATGGAAGAGGAGGTGAGGGTGAGGTAGGCAGGCCATCCCATTGAGTTGGTACAAACTTAGATTTTATTTCGTAGATGATATATTCTATTTATGGTGTAAAGGGATGACGTTTTTTGTGTTCTCTTTTGTTTTGTTTCATAATTTGCAATTGTAAAGAATTCCATACTCATGTAGAAGAGTATGGTTCTGGTTCCTCCCAAGTGCTATTGTGACTTTACAGCTTACCAGCTGACTAAATCGTAAAAGTCTTGATGAAGTACAAGTACAAGTAGAACCCTTCTGCTCTAGAGAATAATTTGTTGGCTGAGAAATATGTTACTCTACCGTGGGATAAAATAATTGCGCGGGTGAACTTTGGAATAGAAATAAATGCTTTATCTATTAAGCTATGTTCGGATTGTCAGATTCGAACCTTTAATAGATCTGCATATAAGAAATCTTGTCCGTTGGTAACGGAAATCACATTAGTAGGAATACTTGTCCGTTATGTGTAGTTTCTTACAGGAAATCACATTAGTAGGAATACTTGTCGGTTAGGTGCAGTTTCTTACTAAGTAATAAATGGCAAGGCTTTTGGGCTAGAAGTTTGAGCTAATGGATTGAATTACATTGGTTAAGAAAGGCAAGATTTGCAGGTCATTTGACGAGTCTGATTTTAAAAGGGTGTTTCAAGAAGAGGCTAGTTCAGATCTAAATAAAAAGATCCAATGTCAAGGTATGGTGTTTCTAATGACTAGCATTTGCATAAATCTCATGACAAGTTAGTTTGCTTTTTTTTTTCCTTCATATTAATATTTGAATCTCAGATTCTCCATTGTGTGGGGGGAGGAGTGGGTGGCCAGTACTTTCCTCTTCTCTTGCCTGTAACAGTTCACATTGAATGACATGGTCGTTGGTCATCTTCTCTTGCTTGTTGACGGCCAATTCACGAGGTAAAAGAATGAATGTCGATTGTTTTCTCAATTTTTATGCATGACTGGGTTGTGTTTGGTTTGTTTGGGTATGAATTTTGTCCCTCAAAGTGAAGGACACCCTCCTTTGAGTTTTTTGGACAAAATCTGAACAACTAAAAAGGTCGTGGGTTGTTTCTTTCTTGTGCTGTTGTCTGTATTTTCTTATACTTTAAGTGGGAAACGGAATAAGGGGAAGTAACCGGGTTTGTCTAGGTAAAGGTTTTGTTCAAGCAAAATTTGGATCATTAGCGATAGGACCTTTATTCTTGCTATGTTCTAACTGCATTGAAACTGCATGGCAGTTTGTGTAGCAAATAATTGAATTTGGTTTCTTAATTATGTCTAGCACAGTTAGGTCTTTGATTCATCTCCTTGTAAGGAAAAATCTAGTTTTGTCAGGTCAGTAGATAAAGAGTTTGTACCCAACATGGCACTTGAAGGAGCAAATGTGAAGAAAGGTGATTGTCGATTTCTAGTTTTCTTATATCCTTTTTTTACCTTTTTCCTTTATTAAACTTGTTTTAACTGACTTTCTATATCGTCATTTTTTATGCTCAGAGATGACACATACAATAATGTTTTCAAGAAAATACCAAGATCAGTCACCATGTATGAATTTTAGTCGTAGAAGAGGGAGAAGCACTAATAGGTTGGACACCCGATCTGGGGAATGGGATTTTGGGCCCAACTTTTCTCCAGAAACTTACAGTGACCAACAGATAGATTACCATGTTCCTGGCCTTGATCAAAATCGATATGATATTATACCTGATGGTCCATTTGGTGGTGCTAGCCATCGTGGCAGAGAATTGCTTGATGATGAGGGCCCCCCTAACTGTCATATACTCTCTAGGAGGAAGTCACCTGGTAGAAGAGATGGTCCTCCAGTACGAGGTGTTAAAATGGTACACAGAATGCCTAGAAATATTAGTCCAAGTAGATGCATCCGTGAAGCTGGTTCTGAATTGGTCGGACCACGACATGGTGAAAAGTTTATGAGAACTTTCGAAGATGAGACCATATGAAGTAGATAGGCCTCATTTTGTCCGAGAACGAAGGAACTTTTCTATCCAAAGAAAAACTTTTCCAAGAATTGATTCTAAATCTCCTGGAAGGTCCGATGGACACTGTCCTGGCCAATGGTTTCCAGGCAAAAGATAGTCCGATAGGTTTTATGGGCATACAGAAATGACACGTCGAAGTTCACCCGCTTAATGGGTGGACAGGATGAGATCTCCTTATCAGCCTCCTATCCAAGGAGATATGCCAGTTCGGAGACATGGTTTCCCTTTTTCGCCACTGCCATACAATGATTCGAGGGGTATAAGTTCTGCTCTGGACCAAGACCATATGAGATCACGCATACGAAGTAGGAATCAAACTGGCCGATTTTCCTTTAGAAACAGGAGGTTTGAGGTTATGGATCCTCGAGATAGGATAGAGAGCAGTGAATACTTTGATGGGCCTGTACATTCTGGTCAATTGAACGACTTACCTGGGGATGACAACAATGACAATCAGAGAAGGTTTTTTGACAGATATGAACATTTTCACTCATCCAGGCCTCAATACAATGATTCTGATGGTGAGAATTATCATAGTAATGCGGAGGATAGCCACAGGCCTTTCAGATTTTGTGCAGAGGATGGACCTCCAGAGTTTGATGAGAGAGGTAAGTTGAGGGAGAGGGAGTGTGATAGATGTGTAAAGAGCCAACCGGGAAATTTAACTAGACCAACCGGGGTCATCATCGAAGAGCATAAAGTAGAAGATTACAGGATGGTCGGCAGATGTGGAATGATCATGGTTTTGAAGATATCTCACAAAAGAAAAGAAAGATTTTGAATCTGCCTCTGGTTATAATCTGCTGGTCATAAATTATTTCAACAAAAATTTGCTAGGCTGAAAAAAGTGCGAGTTGAGGATTCAGACAGAGCTTAAAATGAACAAGAATGTTACTTAATAACTCGAACATTGCTCCATTCGAATTCTAATTTTTTACTTCCTCCGGCGGCCAAACACTAATCTTCTAGCAATGGCTGGCTGCTACAAAGTACATCTGAATCAGAATGCTCGGGCTAACGCCTTTTCCAGCACCAGAGCGGAAATTCCGAGGATTGCAATCCCATTTATCCTCTCGCTGTACGGACTGAAGCCAAATTAGATTGCCCGGGAACCTGAATTGAAGGGATTTTGTAGTAAAATTGGATGTGATCTTAACAGAAATGTTGATAGTGGACCTTTGCTCTTGGATGTTCTTGAAGGATCCTGAAATTTGAGGTTGGTTGGAATGGATCTTATTATAGATTTTGTTGAATTTGAACTCTTCGTGGTGCTATTTGCTTACTGTTGTATGGTATTGTTGAAGGATAGTTCTTATAAATTTTTTTAAAGTTAAAGAACATAATATATTATTAATTCAAAAATATTCTAAAATAATAACTATACAAAAATTAAGATATTTATGTTGCAATAAATATTTTTCTTTTTTTTTTTTTGAGATAAAAGATAATAATTTTTATTTTGAGACACACAGAGACTAGAACTTGGATTGTGGAAATTACCACTATACAATGTTTTAAAATGAGATTCGATTTCTAAAATGGTAGAACCGAGTTGCCCTTTTTAGATCACAACTAAACTATGTTTGCTTCAGAGTGAATTAACTAACTTAAAGCGCTTTCAAGATTAAAATTCAAGACTTTTGTAAAAATAAATACTTGCTAGTTATAGAGGCTCATTCCAAATTTCCATTCACCAAGAATTTCTCATGGCGGGTGAAACCAAAGCCACAACAATTCCGGAAATGAACTGCAAATAAATTTATCAAACGAGAATAAACACTAACTGTCAAGATAAATAAAAGTCAACAAAAATAAAACATCTTGGTTGAGGAAAAATCTCAGAGAGTATCCAAAGTAAAATTATCAAGAATACGAGACAAAATTTGTCAACAAAATTGGTCTGCCGTTGCATAAGAAAATGTCTATCAGATAACACTACACCTTAATAGCATATTTCCTCAATGGAAAGTACATCTCTTTCTTCTTCTGTCTCTCAGTTTTCAAGGAGGCCTGAATAAGAAAGTGGATTCATTCAACAAAATGGTCGAAAGCAAACGAGAAACAAAGAGAAAGAAATGTACTACCAACCAGCTCACAGCACTATGTTTACACCAATGAAATTGAAAGATATAAGAGGAATACAAATGAGAGAAAAAGTTCAATTGGCTATTGTCAAAGTAACTCCCCTTTTTATTGATCATAGGTGATTCTGGAAAATCAATTATACCATCACTCACAAACGCCCTAAATTCAAGGAATATCCTGAAGTAAAAAGAAACCCAACTGGGTGAGTACTTGCTGTCTTAGGGTTTTTCACGTGAGAAAGGGTTTTCCAAATCCATTAATGTTACTAAAATGATTGATCCAAATGCAAATTCTCCCCATCGAAACTGATTAAATTACAAAAACTGAAATCATAAAACTACTTAATTCTAGATAATAGGAATACTAACTTCAACTATGGATATCAAGGTTGTAAAACTAAAACAAACAAAGCCATACTCTAATCATGGATATGTTTGATAGCATTTCAATCTAAATCCAAATTCAAACATGCTTTACTATCCCTCAACCAAAATAACCTTGATAAAACCAAAAGACCAACAAGTACTAGTAGTTTTGCAGTACTTTTGCAAGAACAATCTCAACAGATATCGTACACAAACATTGTAAATATTAAACATAATTAAACTCGAGAATGGCCCACGCAATATTGAAATTACAAGATAAGAAACAAGACAGGATAAAGATGAAGTAATCACCTGGTGCTTGGTGAGCCTTCTACGAATGGCCCTGGTCTTCTTTGGACGCAGATCGAGAGGCAAAAGTTTCTTCTTCTTGTACGCTTCTCTCAATGCCGCCTTCTGCTTCTGCGAAATCACCGTCAAGACCTGAGCGATCGACAATCTCACCACCTTGCTGCAAAATCAACCACACAAAACAACACAGGTCAATTAAACAACAAAATGCATCACAGGAAAATTTAAAAAAAAAAACAGAGAGAAAAGGGAATTACATTTTGGATAGCTTGTTCGGGGCACCGCCGGTGACTTTGGCGACACGAAGGAGAGCAAGCTCCGCCTTAAGATCCTTAAGCTGCGTCAACAGATCCGCCTTTGATTTCTGCCTCAACTCGTGAACCTTGATCCTCGCTACAAACCAAAAACATCAAAATTGAATTTAAAAAAAAAAAAAAAAACAACAAGAAGTTCATCCTTTTCCTCGATGATTTGATTTAGGAATTACCCATTGCTTCTCGCGTGCTCTTCGAAACTCTGCGCCGCCCTCGACGAAACCCTAGAAGAGGAGATGGAACCTGGTGAAAGAGCTGCTACTGGGAAGACTAGGGTTTTCGAGTACGAGAAAAACGTTGTAGTTTTATAGTATTGTTTCTAAATTACCAATTTGCCCTTCCGCTCTCCCTTTGGGCCTCAAAATAAGCGTTTGATTTAGCCCACTAATTTAGCTCGGCCCAATTATACTACGGCTTCGTTTGGAATCACTGGACCGGACGGAATTGATATGATGGCCCATTAGGTTTATCTACACGAGTACTCGTCCAATTTTTTTTTGATAAAGGTACCCTTCAAATTATTGCTTTATACATTTGCCCTTTACCCGATCTCTTATCTCTTGCTCCAACAAACAAAAAATAATAATAATAAATAAACAAACGATTTGATCCATTTCTTTTCAATAATTTCGATTATCACAGTTTTATTAGACGTAGAATTTCACACCCTAGCATTAATTTAATATGTATTTTAAAAAAATATCACAATTTTTTTTTTTAAATGTAGCATAGATTTGAACTTTTTTTTTATGTATTTTATATTTGAGGTTGAGTTTGATATGGATTATACTGTTTTTCATAAAAATTTAAATTATCTACCATATGTGTTATTACGTTTTTATTTTATGTATTTATGTAATTATCTAAGAAAAATTGAGCCTAAATGGTTGTGGTTAACTTTGGATTGGAAGGAACTAAATTAGGCTTGGGATGAAAAAGAAACTGAGCTCATTCATCGGGCTGAAAATTAAATTTCCAATATAAAAAAAAAAAAAAAACTGATTTAAACGGCACCAAATTAGATTCCTGCTTGTTCAACAGGAAAAACCATTTAATTTGCACAATGAAATTTCAATTTTTTTTTGGGAAATTTCCATCCTTTTATTTAGTTGAGCTATGTTTAGGTTTTTTCGAATAATTAGTTGAATTCAAATAAAAACAGGCAGATAAGAGAACACAAAATGTTTTGATTGATAACTTTGTAATATATTAGCTTTCATATGTAATTGAGAAATTCATAAACAAAGTGAGATTTGAGATCTCAAACAAAGGATAGATGATAAAACAAGAGTGGTTTTAGTAAGTGATGTAAAGAGTGAATTGCAGCAAAGTCTCTACCCCATCAGTTTCATGCTGGTTGGTGCCTGGAAGAGTCTTCACATTGGCATAACCTTTTGCATTTACGTATTTTCCAGTGCCTCCCATGATGGCCAAGTGAGACTCCGACACCGCCGTCCGGTGGACTCCGAAGAAGCTCAGGCTGTCGACGTAATGGCCACTCTCAAACATGGTAGTGAATGCCATTGTTTGACTGTTTCCATCCTCCGAGCTCACCACATAGAATCCTTGTGCTTTTCCAATCAAACCAGAGCCCAGTTCGTGTCCTTCGGTCAGCTCGTCGTCAATCACTGTCATGGTACCGAACATGAGCTGTTGTATCGACACTCCGGACGGAAGCTGCCCGGCATTAACGGATGGAAATCCAGCCACACCATTGAAGTTGTTCCCATTGTTGTTCTGCAACAATGGGGATGTAGCTCCACCAAGGCCAACCAGAAAAGGGAGGTTGTTGTTGTTAATTAGACCACTGTTTCCATTGCTTTGGGGGACACCATTGCCCACTGATAGAACTGCTCCATTAGGCTTGGCAAACGGAAGCTGACCGTTGAGGGCCGGATTGTTAACCGCCCCGGTAACAGCCCGAGCCGAGGGGTTTGAACCACCAAGGATGTCATGCATAAAGAAGGTTAAGGTATGGTGATCAGCTTCAATCCCACCACCAAAACTAGGTAGAGTAGTTGAAGGTGAAGTAGTAGTTCCTTGCCCTGAATTGCTAATAGGCGTACCAACGACATTGGATACTGTCGGACCAACGAGATTGGATGATGTCGGCGTACCCACCGGCCCCTGTGGCTGCTCGTCGAGAAGCCTGGCTGAGTTAGCAGATAAACACATCAAACAGAGGAGAAGGCAGGCTATGGCTTTGGTTGAGAAAGAGAGAAGTTTGTGAGATTCCATGAGAGGAAGCTGAAGGAAGGAGCTAATAGAACTTCTGTTTTTGATAATCTTGATGATGGGTTTGAGGGTAATCTGTGTGAGTTTATATATATATTAGAGATCAAGCTTAAGGAAATGGGAGTGGCTGAAATGGAGTTGGTGAATAACTCTATGATCTTTGGTGTATTGGTTTAGGTTTCATTAATCTGTCAGAAACATACAAAAACAGTCTGAAAATTAAAGAATTGTCAAGGGGATTGGCTCAACTTCCAAAACACCAACAGAAACACAAAGGTAATCTATACACAAATAATGGCATCACAAAAATTTTGATGCATAAAAATAACATCAATCTGTCACAGTTGACAACAACAAACTCTAATTCCACTCATGAATAAAAGAATACAAACTCTTCGAACACTTCAACTGGATCAAAAATTTTCCTATGCACAAATATATAGCTCACTTTTTCTTTTTCTTTTGCTTCAAAAAAAAAAAAAAAAAAATCTTTGTTTTTGTATGGTAATGTTTATCCATAACCATATATTATCATACCGTTCATAAGAATCCAATGATACCAAACTCTGCAAGAAGCTCTTTGATCAATAATCTCTCTAGTTCTCTACAAATAGAATTAATCTCCTCTCCGAGATCAATCCACCCAATCTCCTTTCCAAACTGCTTATCTACTAGATCTTTGTTCAGTTCCCTTTCTTGGCTATCCAGCAGGATCCATAGTTCTTCCTCGACCATTTCCCGGTCAAGCAAAGGCCGAAATCTTCTTGATACAGGCTTTGCCCATTCTGGCACACCAACTAATGACTGAAAGAGTTCTATTAGCCCAGAATTTATTCTGTCAAAGAGAAGCTTTCTTTCTGATCTTCTCCAAGAAGTTTGTTCACCGAATTTCTTCTCTAAGGTTTCGAAGACTGAAGGGCTAATCACGTGAGGTTCCTGACCATCCCATGAAACACAACCCTTATCCAGGTTTCCACAATACAAGCCTGCCTCACTTAAGACATCAAGAAGGTATGAAAAATCCCTACTATCTTTGAATTTGAATGTGCTCATTATGTCATCAATTTCTTCAGAGCTGCATTTAGATCCTTCTCCACCACCATCATCATCACTTGATACGAACATTTCATGTCCTTCTGAGTTAGATCCCGGGGAGTCTGACATCAGTAGTTCAAGTTGCATCATCAAATCTACAACCAAAATAGGTTTGGATGAGTATGTTTATAAGAAGGTATGAACTTGAAAATAAGAATATAGTCATAAGATAAGCCACCTCTACTGTTAATGCCTGAGGATTCAGAACTTGATATCGTTTCTTCTTTAAAAAGTGGTTCAAGAACTGAAACTGGGCTGGGTTGATAAGCCTCCTCCAAACTCACAATAGAATCTAGCTCTTTGCAAGGGTAGTGTTCAAAGCCAGGACCTTCCTTATCAAATATGGTCGATGCTTCCTGCAATTTATTTATAGGTAAAAGAAATGTTGGAACACGTAAAGCAAGTATCAACTTGTTGAGGATAAGGAAGTAATGGGGCACATTTGAAAAATGCAAAAACTCTAACAAAATATGTACTTACTATAAACACGGGAAAAAAACAAAGACCAAATCAGAAAGTAAATACAATTGACACAGAGAAATATGAGCAGGAAAAGTCCACCTATTTAAGAGATTCTAATTTTTAGATAAGAAACAATTTCATAGACAATAAATTACAAAAAGAGAATGAGAAAGCTAAAGTAGATTGCTAAGAGATCTTCCAATCGGCAGAAAAGTGTATTTAAACTATAGTTTTTACGAGTGAGCTTAGATGCCAATAAGCATGGAATGAAGTAGAACCTAAGAAGCATGCACACTTTATTTTGGTTACGTGTCTGATAGTCGGACACTTGTTGGATACATATTAAACAAACACTTTTTGAGCACAATAGACATGTCTCAGACAGTAGTTATGCAAAGGGAATATGAGTCCAATACTTATTAGGCATATATGGAATTCTAATTATAATAAAAGATATAAATATTAATATATAACAGAGAGCATTAAACTTAGCCGTCTAAGGTCTAGAACTAGAACCAAAACCAAAACTAAGTTTAGAAACCATGTCTAAGGTCTGGTTTTATTCAAGTAGATCGCTCAATTTACACAAAGTGAATTTTTTAACACAATAAAGTTAGCTAGTGCTGAAGGCATCGGAAAAACATCTTTCTTGTGGGAGAAAAACAAATATAAATTATTCTATTTCGCTAGCATCATAATTCAGCATGCCCTCCTTCACTTGGAATGAAGGCTGAAACTGTTAGCCTTGTCCAACTGAACATTACATAAGTCACAAATAATACAGTCCATTGCAGTCAATAGTAAATGGTTCAATTTCAGTAAATTCAAAGTCAATTTAGCCAAATAGATTATAGAGTCCGTCCAATACTGCATGAAAGGAGTGTATGCTCCCAACTAAATCTACTGTAGTGTAAGTTTCTGAATACTTTAATGAGAGAAATACGGAACCTGTTGAATGGAACGACATGTGGTACGAAAAGAGTTGGTAGATGAATCACCATCAGTCTCTGAAATACTGCAGGACATTGAATCAGGTTCCTGTTTGTCCACAGTAGGGACCTCCGCGTCATCAGTCTTTACAGCCAATACGTTAGAAGCCATACCTGAAAAATTATCATCTGGATAATCACTCTTCAAAGAACACTCAATTGCCTTATTTGGATTGTTCTCTGCGCAAAAGACAACATCGTTCCTTGATGATAGAGAATTTATAGAACGCTGATTACAAAGGCTCTTCTTCTCAACTCTGGTCTCCAGATGACCCACAACAATGCAGCCATCATCGACAATGTGACCACTTGCTGATTCAGGGCAAGGAAAAATCCTCAACTTCTTAGAGCCCAATTTCAAGGTAGGGTCTGAAGCATCTTTTCCATCAGAACTTTTATCTGATGGTTTGCATTGTAGCCAAGTAGCAGAACCTTCAGACTTTAAAAACCATGTATTTCGAAGGGACTCATATCTGCTCCTGGTTCTAGATCTTTTTGTAGTCACAGTAGCAGCAGAACAAAATCTCAATCTGTGGGAGTTTTTACTGACTTGATCTAGTCTTTCGTCCTTGCAGCTCAAGCACAAGGGACTGCCAGAATGCAAATGTTCCTTATTCGAACAAACATGCTTCTGGAAATCATACTTCACTGGCTTGCAATTCAAATCGTTGGGCAAAGTTGCATGATGATGTAGTATAGGCATTTCACCTTTGTTGCTACCTTGCCTAGAAAGAATCAACTTTTGAGTCTCCTTTTGTTCTTCGATGTCCTCCCTGAATCCTCTGGCTTTGTACGACTCAACTGAAAAGCAACAGGAATGCTTATATTCAGCCTTCAAATTAGATAAACCTGGGGAAAAAGTCGTTCTGAATTCAGTTTCTTTTCTATGCACATCGTCATATATGGATTCTGATCTTGATGCCTTCATTTGCAAATTGACAAAATCATGCCTTGTTTTTCTCCCGCTTACATCAAGAATCCTTGAAACTTGAGATGGTTGCTTGATGGGCTCTACTACACATACCATAGTCTTTCTTTCTTTTTCTTTAGCCATATGCTTTCCATTTTGAGAACCATGAAAATATTTGCATTTCTCGCTAACTAAATGCGAGCCTTTCAAAGAAGTCAGTGAGGAGGAAGAAAAGCATAATTTATCTTTCCACTCCAAAAGGGGTATTGAAGACTTCAAAAGATCAAAATCATCATACGCGCATGCTTGTCCTTGTTTCCTGTTCGTAAATTTAGTGCCTGCATCATTAATTCCTCGTGTCAATGTAAAATGTGACTTTGACAGACTGAGTCCATTCTCGACATGGTTGAATATATATTCCTTTTCTCTTGTAGGTCTCGGTGAGATGTCCATAGAATCAGTAACTTCTGGTAATTCTTGAAGATCATTTGAAGTCTGTATCATCTTATCTGTTGGAAAGTGCTCGACTCTCATGAAGTTATGTCGTGTAAGTGGCATACATGCTGATGATAAAGCAGAGTGTTCCTTCTCCCTAACCCCTAATTCGTTGCAACTGATATCACTCTTGAAGCTATCTACTACATCGAGAGTATTAAAGAGTTCTATTGGCTCTTCTACGGTCGTCCTAAATGGATGACATTTGGAGGGGGGTTTCTTCTTCGGGACTCCAATAGAAGCAGCCCTTTGTAAATAACCCTCAGAAAGAACTCTAGAATGCCGTGAGACATGGTGCGCAGATTGCTGCTCCTCAAATCCCATCAATGCTTCAAGAACACTAGCTGTACACTGTTTAGTTCCCATCTTGGAGAAACTCTACCGACAAAACTTTATGGTACACAACCCCTGACCTCAAGTAGTTCGCTGAAAATAAAATAATTATCTGCAAAAATCCATTTAGAATATTTCAGGTGAACGAAAAAGGGAAAGGGAAAAGGGAGAGAGAGATTCATATGTCTTAAGTTCAGAAACCAATTGTCCACTTTTTGGAACGTGAAGCTGATTACAGATTATTAACTACCAAAGTGAATGATATAAACTTATCAATTACAAAAGCAGAACAATTAAAAGCTTACTTTGTCTTCCCGTGATTGCTAGGATCCTCAATCTCCCTGCTTCCTGAATACGGTAACAGGGCATTTTAATAGCTTTAAAAGAGAGTAGAAAATATAAAGCAAAAGAAACATATTACCGTGTGAGGGGATAATATATATAACACAATCAAGAGAATAAGAGTATCAGTAAGGAGTCCACTTCACAGAGTACACAACATCCCTGGAATTTATGGACAAAAAGAAACCAGTAGCCTCTCAGGCTACATAATTAATTACATATCACTATTTTTTTCCATAAATGGAAACAATTCTGCCTTGTCTGCAAGAGCCAACAGCATAAGCTTTAAAAATAGAAAATAAAACTGATTGGAAGAAACAACTCAAAAACAGCAGATTCATCCCATCCAAGATGCCTGGTGACCATCCCATAAATGATAAGAAATGGGCCACTCACATAAATAAATGTAACACAGCAAGGTTTGAAGCAATCAACCTGTGAAGAAAACAATTCATTTCTAACACCTTCTTTCTGGTCAGCAATCATTGGAGTCAAAAAAGAAAATAAACATAAAGTAAATCATAAATGAAGACATCAACATGCTGTCATAATATCAGATTTATGGTTAGAATAACAATTCCGATACATAACCCACAAATTCCCAGCAACAACAAGAAAACAAAATCATTTAAACGCCATAACAATCATAGCCCACTCGATTAATGGACACAAAAGAAGCAAAACCCAGAAGCGTACTGGGTAAAGAAAGATACTCAAATACTAAGAAAAAACAGAGAAAACAAACTCAGAAATCACATACAAAGCTAAACAAGACAATCGGACACGGACCTTCTTTCAAAACCTTTCGCATCAAAACGCTGATCTTAGATCTTCCTGAAAATCCACGCCACAGAACCTCCATGATCTGCAACAAGAAGAAAAAACTAGAAAACCCTCCGCATCATTCCAAATCGCCCTCTGATCATAAGAGCCACCACTAGATCAAGTTGAAAACCACTTCTTGAGTTCGCTGGTATGAACAAAGCAATACAGAACTGAACCCAAATGATTTCAAGTCAAATACAGAACTGAACCCAAATGATTTCAAGTCAAACACCCACAATTGAAAAGCGTTCTGCTTATTTATACTACAGAAAAACACAAAATAGAGGTCGGCGGAGCAAATCTGGAAGATGGAGTATTCGATCTTTTTCGATGGTGAATGATACTGAAAGTAGAGGAAACGAAAGAGGCGCGTCCCAGAAAGAAAATGGGCGAGAAAATGATGGGATATAACAGTGAAAGTTTTGGAAAATTTTGATGTATTGGGTATTTTTGCTACAATTTTTCCCATTGTCGTATTCAGAGAATTACGCGCCAACTTATGCAGTTACGTTTGTCAGCAGCTGCAAGATCGTCGCCCACATTTATTATTCGCAAAATTATGTGAAAAGTTTTATCTTTGTTTTCTATTGGCTACGATTTTGATGTTTCCACTCCCTGATTTTTCTCAAGGCGCACTCACTGTAGACTGTCTGTCACTGGCTCTGCCTGTGGCGTGGAAGTATGAAAATGAGGAGTGGAAATATTAATTGGAAATTATTGTAATTAAAATACTCGAACCTGACATGCCGCATCATGCATGAGCTTTTGACCTAAGCTAGGGCGGGCTCCTTTTTTGTTTTAATTTTAGTTTTTAATTATTAGGACAACACCTAAAACTCTCATTTTCTTGTCTTATTCATTATAATGTCTGTGTATTAATTATATTTTTTAAACACAAGATATTTGGGTTTGTATGTATGATTAGAATATTAGTGTAAGTCTCCAAGCTTCGGATCAACTAGAACAAGTTGGACAAAGAGCTCTGGATGTCGTACAGAGGACCTGCAAAACAGAGTAGAAACTCCGATGTTAAAGTCGGTAAGCGTTCAAATCAACTCGATAAAGAGAATTGGACTAATCGCGTACCTTGAAACGGAGCGGAATGGTCCTATTTATAGGCAGCACCCTCGACTGGATTCCTGACAATACCTCAACGGTTCTTTAAGGTTCCCGTGAAGTACAGCGTGATGTCGCGGAGTTTGTCGGAGAATAGACTGAGCCGAAGTGGTCCAAGTCATATATTTAGTCGGTTCGGCCATCGTATATGGTCGGCTCGACATGAGGACTCATGGTCGAGGTAAACACACTTCGTGCATGTGCACTGCTAGACGAACCACAACTTGCCACGTGTAGGTTGAAATCTACCCCCAACAATTAGAAACATTTTTTGTGATATTATATTATTTCAGTTTCTTGCATTACTAGGAAAACTCTTATCAATTTAAGTACGCAAGTATACTTATTTATATAATATAATTGCGAGGGTCAAATCTTGTAGGATCACTTTTAAGTACATTATGAATGTTCATTGGTTGGATTTTATAATATTTTAAATCCAATTGTACGGGTTAAAGACTTCTATAACTTGGACATTTATAGTTAAATTACAAACTCAACTTAAAATAACTCACACCTCATATGTGTATATTATATGAGTTACAATGTTTTTAACTAAGGTTGCTCAAAAAAATCGACTAACCCAAAAATTCTAACATAAAACTAATCCAATCTATATAATTTGGGTTCAGGTTACCTTCATTTTAACTAGAAAGATGAGTTAATTTTAAGTTAGTAATACATTTATAAAAGTTGTAATTATATATTGTTGTGGGTTGGGTTGACTCAACTTGGTGAACCCAAAATTTGAATCATCCCAACCAAATTAGAAGAAGAAAAAAAAAACAACTTGTTCTTGCTCATATTAGCAACCCAACTCAAACCGTATGGATTGGGTTGGATTGTGGAAAGAAAAAAAAAGTACCAACTCTTGGATTTTCTATCATTTTATGGCTACTTTAGAAAGCGGTAATTTATATATAT